CATACCGAGTTTATCTTGTCCATTTTTAACATTGAGTACCTAAGCTGCCACAATTCGTTCTCTGATGAACAGAAATCACTGTTGTGTACATTTATTTGAAAATACATGCAAATATTTAAATTTTATCATTTAATTTATCTTGGCCTAATATAATGTTGCAGATATTTTTTTTTATTTCAAATTCTGTCATTCACTGTTGATTTCTGTTTATTTTAATGTGATACATCAAAGGGCAGATCACTCAAACTGCATAAAACTACCACTGTATTAAATTTCTTCAGTAAGCAATAGGGGTGGGACGATACACAGATCTTGTGATACGATACGTATCTCGATACATTAACACGATACAATATGTATCTAAATATTACGATAAATTATAAAACTATTTTTAAAAATTAGTATTTTTTCATTTTTTTGTCTTGACATTAAATCAACAAATTATTCTATATCAAATTATGTGTGTTTTGAAATTAATACTTGAAGTTCATCAATTTCATTGACTAAAACTTTACAAAATCAATAATACATGTACATATTACCACATTTATATTAACAAGTTGTTTACAAATAGTTGTGCAGTTCATTATAGCGGCAGATCTGTAGCGTTATGGTTTTATATATTTGTCTTTGACCATAACGCTACAGATCCCGTAATGCAAAAAAGGTGCAATTTATAGCGCAATATTTTATGCGCACTTTTGGGGAGAATTTCTAAACTTTCTAGCATTGGTCAATCAACTAACTTCCACTCCCCAATTCTAGATACATTCTGTAGTCAAAATGTATATATCTTATCCACCTCCCAATCATTTATAGTTGTCTCTCAGGCAAAAAAAAACTCGCTTGAAGTGAATTTTCAGCAATCTAACAAATAATTTTAATCAAGCGAGTTTATCACTTGTAGAGACAATTACAGAGGATTGGGAGATGGATAAAATAAACAGATTAGTTAAATAATGTGCCTAGAATTAGGGAGTGAAAGGTAATTAATTGACCGATGCTGGAAAGTGGAGAAATTCTCCCCAAAAGTGCGCAAAAAATATTTTTTGCATTACGGGATCTGTAGCGTTATGGTCAGACAAATATATAAAACCATAACACTACAAATCTGCAGCTAAGTTCATCAAAGAACAATGACTAAAAATTCATTTAAAAATATCACATGTATATTAATTATGATTAATATTAATTGTTTCAAGACTGGAGGCAAGTTGAGATTACAAACAAAAATCACAGTTTGTTTCAAAATTTCAAATTCCTGAAATTAGAGAATCCATGCTTTGTTATGAGCTCTTAGTACCAGATGAACTAACAATTAAATTCATTAATAATATCAATTCTGGATACGATACTTTCTGTGTATAACACGCTTTACATACTGAACTTTCTTGTCAAATCTTCCGAAGCTGCTTAAAAGTGAAAACGTTTTACCCCTAATCAACGACTTATTAGTTTTAAAGTGTGTTTTCAATATCCACATCATCTCTTTGCTCTGTACAAGCCGCCATTTTCCAAGTACAGGTACTTTCATTTTTTATTTTTTGATAGGTCGTTCGTTTATTGTTTCGTACTAATATTTTAATGCTTGTATTGTAAACCGTATCTTAGAGGAAAATACCTGTATGTATCGTCCCACCCCTAGTGAGCAATTTAATGAGCTTTCTTATAATCAGCACTCAATAAATTTAACTTTTTATTATCAAATTTTAGTTTACCTCAGGGACGTAGTTATCTCTGCGCTCACGTTCCTCCTCCTGCAGTTTGATGGAGATACCCCTTACTGGACCTCTCTGGATGCGCTTCATCAAGTGTGTGACAAACCTGTAATAAAAGCATATTCAGTTATTAAGGTCAAACATTCTCATGTGTGTTCGATATTCATTTCTAATACGCTTGCTATAGATGTCAATTGTAAAAGGTGGTAATAATCGGGATTTTTTTTTTCATCTTGACTTTTTAGAAAAATTAAATTACAATTTTTGATTGGTTAGAAAAATTTATTTAAATTGTATCACCTATGTCTGATAAATGCCAAATGTCAAAAACCAATAGATACTACAGGCACTTGTTTCAGATTATCAGAACTAAATTTCTAACTCATAGCATAATAACACAAGGTATCTAACTCATAATTACTCTCGGTATCCCACTCCTCAGAAACGCACTCATTTACACTTTCAGAGGAAATACACTGGCAAATTGTTTATTACAATTGTCTTCTACGATAATCTTTCTACACAACCATATATGACATGCATGTCTTTATGTTCTTTTATCTCTGTACCCAGCATCAAAACTCTGCTCACTGAGTAGAAATGTCTACTTAACCCGTACAGTATGTGTTATTCTTGAGCAAAAAATTTGATGGGCTAAAAATCTGTTTCTAAAATTAACATCAGAAAAATGATGGAGTGTTTAAATGGAAAATGAGACATTATTATCAAATTTTACTTATTAAATGCAATATTAAACACTGGAATTGAATTTTGAATTTTTAAACACAGTCATTTTTTAATTTTGCTCTGCCCAAGAATAAAAAAATCCAAAAGTCAACGGATTCTATCTCCAGGTAGGGGTAGATAAAATGTTTGATCGTTCAAATGATTTTGTCCGACAAACCTGGTTTAATGATAGATATAAGCAGTGTAGCAAAATAAACACTGGCGATAACTCGTACTCTGCATTTACTATGAACAATTCTGAACGTAAACATGGCCTGTACATCTGAAGCGAGAAAATTAGTTGAGAAAATTTAGGGTTTTTTGTATTTATATGGATTATTTTGGGGGATAAAAGACATATACAATCTCAAGAATGTTTGTTTTGATTAATTTGGTTCACTGCAACCCTTCTTGCATTTTTCCAAATCATTTTGGAGCAGATCCACTCCAATTTGCTACATTGCAAGTAATTGGGACATATTCTTAATGCGGTGAAGGCTTGTCCTGAGACACAGTAGGGTTATTCTAACAATTAAGGAGTAGGGGTCCTGTCATAAAGTAGCTGTAGAACTGTAGCTCTCTGCTTGTCGCTCACTTCGGGTATTATTTCTTTTATTTTATACTTTCACCAGCTCTAAAAATGGTATTTAATAATTAATCATACATTTAACTTCAATTCCGGATAATTTACTTACCTTTCAATGCTAACAAATGGTTGTTTGTGGTTACAGATGTCGAAATGGAACTCTTTTAAACCGACATTAAAAACATATGTACAGGACTGTTTCGGACCGTTAAAAGGTAAATAAACTTAAATAAAGTATCACAAATAAGAATTAAATGATGCAATTCTAAAAGCCAGAGAAAATTTCAACTACACGAAATAAATACCTAAAGTACATGTAGCGACAAAAAATCGTCGGCGTAAATCGAAGGTTTTTACAATGCTTGGATCTGTAGGAAATCCAGTCAAAGCGCCCCCTAATAAAGCCGTCTCGGTCAAAGTGTCCCTTGATTTTGGTCAAAGCGTCCCCTGATTTTGGTCAAAATGCCCCCTGATTTTGGTCAAAGCGCCCCTAATAGAATTTTACAGTAAAATGATGTTACAAAACTGCCCCCAAATATTGGTCAAAGCGTCCCCTGATTTTAGTCAACGCGCCTCTTGATTTTTGTCAAAGCGCCCCTTTACATTTATTTCTTAGGAAAAATCGTCTGGGAACCGTCCCCAAGCAATGGTCAAAACGTCCCAGATTTTGGTCAAAGCGTCCCCTGATTTTGGTCAAGGCACCCCCTAATATTTTTACAAACATGTTACAGAATAGAACTGTTTTGTATGTGGCAGATACCTGAAAAAATTTTATAGATGAGGGGGCGCTTTGACCAAAATCAGGGGACATTTTAACCGTTGCTTGGGGATCGACTCGAAACGTTTTTTTTCCCTGTAAAAATATATTAGAGGGCGCTTTGACTAAAATCAGGGGACGCTTTGACCAATATTTGGGGGCAGTTTTGTAACATCATTTTACTGTAAAATTCTATTAGGGGCGCTTTGACCAAAATCAGGGGGCATTTTGACCAAAATCAGGGGACGCTTTGACCGGGACAGTTTTATTAGGGGGAGCTTTGACTGGATTTCATTTGTAGCTCTCTGCTTTATCTGTCTGAATTTTCTCAAGCAGAGACCTACAGTTCTGCAGCTAGTCCTAAAGCACCTCAGTGTAAATGAATTTATTTTCAAAGTGAACAAAATTCAACATTTAAATGAACTAGCATCCTTTCTGATGATCGAAGTCCCTCTAGTACTTGATTAAAAAGTTCTTACCCTGCAACTTTATTTCTCAATTTCTTGCTGGGCAGGATTGCAATTTCTTCACATACTCGTTTGTTAGTATGGAAGTCCAAAGTGAGCTTCGTGTAATATTTCTCAATTATTACACGCGCTGCTTTCTTGACGGTCTTCGTTCTTACACGAGCCTATAAAGATATCCACATATCAAATATTATAAGATGTACTAAGTGTTACCAAATGCTTTCTTTTTGCATGTAGAAAATAAAACTCGAGACATTTGTAGAAATGTCAACAATACATTTAGTTGTGATTAAAACCAATGTTGTGTGTCCATAATTGCTTTCATAACGAGTTCAACTATTCAGGAAGAATTAAGGAATACATCTGTTATAATTTTATTTCATTTTGAAAGTAAATGACAGAGGGATGACACTGATTTTATCATGTAAAGCATGTATATTCTCACCATCTTGATTTATGAACGGAAAAGGAAGTTGAAGGAAAATGAAACGATCACATAAAAGAATCCCGGAAAATGTTCTCAAAATATAGATAGGCGGCCTAACGTTAATGATTTCAGGTTATGATTTGTATAAAGTTTAATAAAACTATCTAAATAATGAATCATTGATTTTCACATATGAGAAAAAAATAATATGCTTTATTATTCCGGAAATAAGTTTTCTAATCTAGATTTTTTTTCATTATTTCAATTCCTAATCTCTTTTGCGCTTTACACCAATTGCCAATGAAACATTGCTATAAAAGAAGCAATTTTACATTGAATTCGAGAAGGATTTTCTTCAAAAATTAAAATACAAATTATGATAGTGGATATTTATGACAAAGAAAGTCCAGAAATGAATGCATATTCATGAAATTACCAGTGATTATTGATATTCTGCATAGTCAAATTATACATGTAAGTTGCAAATAAATCAATTCTGCATTCAAAATTCAGCATTGACTTGAGCAGGTTAGTTGATGATGCAGCTGCAGAACTGTCAGCTCTCTGGTTAAGAAAATCTTGACAGACAAACCAGACAGCTACAAATCCAAGAATGAGAAAAATGATTGACGACGCTTTATTTGTCACAGACTTTGGAAAAGGAAGATAAGATGTTAGATCGATGCATTTTATTGCAGCTTAATATATTGATGATAAGACTTCTAGGATGTCAGCGCAGATGCACACCGGATATTTAGATTTACTTACGATTGGGCTCTTCAAACTGCATGTGCCATTTACTACCTATAGACTCTGACGTCACTTGACATATTGTATATATGTTATGTATGTTGTGCATTACCAAATCAAGCCTGAACAGTGCAACAAAGTTTAATACAAATTTTAAATGTTTAATCTCATATTTACCTGCTATATTAAATCCATTAAAATTATGGTGGGTCTATTTTTATGCCCCCGTAACGGAGGTATATAGTTTTTGTCTTGTATGTCTGTCTGTCTAGTTGTCTGTCTGTCTCTCTGTTTGTCTGTTTGTCTGCAAAAACTTTAACCTTGCTCATAACTTTTGATTTAGTGGAGGCTGACTTTCATATCTCAAATTTGTATTCATTCTGACAAGACCTTTCATTGAATACCATCAAATTTGACCTTTTGACCTTGACCTTGGGATTTGACCCACTTTTCCACAAAAATTCCAAACTTTTACTTTGGCCCTAACTTTTGAACTGTAGATACTAGGACTTGTATACTTCACATATGTATTTTTTGTGGAAAGACCTTTCATTGGATACCACCAACCTTGACCTTTTGACCTTGACCTTGGAGATTTCCATACTTATGAAAAAAACTTTAACCTTGGCCATAACTTTTGAGCGGTAAGGGATAGGGCTTTCATACTTCACAGACACATGTATAATACTTGTGAGAAGACCCTTTATTGGATACCCAAAACTTGACCCTTTGACCTTGACCTTGGAGTTTGACATACTTTAAAAAAACAAAGCTTGACAATAACTTTTAAAGGCTTAGGGCTAGTGCTTTCATACTTTACATATTTAATGCTTGTGGCTTAACCTTTCATTTGATAGCAAGACCTTTGACACTCTGACCTTGACCATGGAGTTTGACCTACTTATTAATTTTTTTTAATCTTAAAATGGCCATAACTTTTGAACGTTAAGGACTTGGGCTTCCATACTTTACATACCTAATCTTTGTGGCAAGACTTTTCATTAGATACCAATTACCTTGACCTTTTGACCTTGACCTTGGAGATTTTTGTACTTATGAAAAAAACTTTAACCTTGGCCATAACTTTTGAACACTAAGGGCTAGTGATCTCATACTATACATATGTAATCTTTGTGAAAAGACCCTTTATTGGATACCAAGATTTCCAAACTGATGAAAAATTTTTACCCTGGCCTGATTTCATATTTCAGAGCTGTATTTCCAGTGAGTTTGCATTTAAGAAAAGTTTAATCTTCACTAATTTGTTGCCATACGGGGGCATCAGTGTTTCACAAACACATCTTGTTTATTTGGTACATGTTTAGTTTCTGTTTGAGGATGATCAATACATATCATAAAATTTAGTCTCAGTTCTGTTATTTGCGATACGATACATTTTGATAGAAGGAAACATTCAACCATTGTTTTATGCTTCCTTTTACTTAATTATAGTCAAATAATTTATGTGCAAAATGGATAGAAGAAATGAATTTAATTTATTTGACTGTTATAAACTACCGTATATACTCGCCTATAAGTCGGTATTTTGGGAGTTAAATTTTAGTCCAAAAGTCTATGTCCGACTTATAGGCGAGTCATAAAAAGACTGGTATTTTTCTGGATGGGAAATCGAATTATACTATAAACATTTTCGACAGCTATCTTAAATTCACCCAAATGAGGGTAGGGCAAAAGGGGTGAAAATAAAAAGGGAGCGAAAATTTCCCTGTACACAGTATAGTTATCTCTACAGACCAATTAATTTTTTTTGTCACAGTGCTTGATTTAAAACTATAATGCTACAGTTCTGCAGCTAGTGGTTTCTATGTTATCTACTCATTCATTTGAATTTATTTTATTGCATTTACTGTTGGAGTTATCAGTTCATTAAAACCAATTTTACAGAGAGCTGCAACAATCAATAGAAGTGAAACGGTTCACGGCAGTATCAATTCACCGCAGTATCTTTTCTCGGTTCGATACACGGTACAAAATCTCTATTTTCGGTTTGGTTCATTTTTTGGTCGGAATTGTCATTCAGTTGGGTTTGGCATAAGGTATAAACATGTTCCTCCGTATAGTTCAGAAACGTAAATTTTGTGGACATCTAGTTTGTAAACACCGTATATACTCGCCTATAAGTCGGTCCACCTATAAGTCGGTTGTATCTTTTGAGGTTATTTGACAAGGATTTGCCATTGACCCACTTATACGTCGGTACAACTTTTTGCCAGAATCAGATGACAATTTCTAACAAATGCTCTGATGATTTACGCTGATTTCAATTCATATTTTTAGGAAAAAGTCTATATTTAACTTTATATCACAAAAAGATAAATAATGCCCTCTTAAGACTAAAAAAAAATTTTTAGAAACTTGTACATAAAATACACATAATTTATGTACAATCTTAAAATACATAAATGATATAATATATCCATACTTTGATGGGGCAATATTATTCTTCATGCTGACCAATGATGGTAAATAATAAATGCACAGAAAATCTTGTACTGTAAATTTCACCATATTTGCATTACAGCTGGACTAAAATGTAAAACTATAAGGCCACAGTTTTGCACCTAAAATTCAATTCAACCTTGGTTAAAACATGCATTTGAAGTTGTGATTGTTTTATATCAAAATTATATGTGAGTCATCATGGTCATTCAGTTATGTGTTCTATGTTTCAGATTTTTACACAAAGTGTATGCTGAAAACTGGTGAATATGGGGATTTTAGGGACAATTGGCTGGGGAATATTATTAAGTTCCAGGTAAGTTTTGAAGAAAATTGTAAATGTATGTTATTAATGAAGAAATTGAAAAGCATATTGTTAGATTAACACCCTTATTTTATTTTTAATAATCTTTGATAAAACACCCAAAACATTTACAGTACTTGATTCTTTTTTCTTTAATATATGAATTAACCATTAAAATTATCAGACATGACAGAGGACTTCAGATTCCTTTATAAATGTTCATCTAAGGCCAAAAAAAATTAATCAATAGTTTCTCAGATACTGCCGCATCAGTTCAAAAACGGCCGCATTGATCAATTTTATTGACATATTTAAAAGGGAAGTAACTCAATTTTCTATTTTTCCAAATTGAAAAAGTAAATCGAGTTATCCCCCTTTTTATAAAGGCTAAGATAGACGTTTTTAGTAGAAAGGAATATATTTCTTCTAAGTTTACAGTATTTCATGAATGAACTTTTAAATAAATGTTTGGAATAACATTATTTAAAGTTGAATATATATATTATAATTAAGTTCAGAGAACAAAAATTAAAAATTAGTAGATATTATCATTTTATTAAACAAATGGCTTTAAAAAGGCTCTAAAACCTGTTCTCAACAAAAAAAAACAAAAAAAAAAAAAAAAACAAAAAAAAAAAAACCTGCTTGCCGCATTGAATTTTGAATTTTTTGGCCTTAGAAACTAATAAGTAATTTTTTTTGGCCTAAGCATTGATTGAAGTGAAGTATTATTATTTCAGGAAAGTATTCTTAATTTGTTTCATACTGGAATTTTTAGCACTATTGTTTATGGCACCTACTCCATCCTTGTTCATCTGTGTGAAGTAAAAGGAAAAGTTCCATTCAAGTCTTCCTCTGTTGTACTGATCATTGAAGTAGGAAAAGTAAGTATGCTTACAGAACCCAGAATTAAAATTCAAAGGTCAAAGGATGAACTGTATATCATTTGTTAAAGAAAAAACAGAATCACCTGTTTTCAATTTGACATTGTCTCTCTTGTCAGACTATATGTAATGTACAGTCTTATGTTTGAAAATTAGTGTTGTCAAATCGGTTGAAAATCAGAATCGATTAATCGGTAGCATCGGTTGACCCTAACCGACTGATCATTGGCCAGTAATCGAATCGGTAACCCTTTGCATAAAATAGGCATTAGATTTTATAAAAATTAGAATTTTATTGTTAAATAATGTAAGTAAAGTTGCATTGTACAGATCGAAATTGTAAAAACAGTATATATGCAGTTTGATTAATGATTTCAGTAATACAGATTTTTGCATGATTAGGAATTACTTGGCCTGGGAAAAGTAAGCATAGACAGATCAGGTTTTAATTTACATGATCATCTAAAATGTATATGGAATTAATTCTTTAAACTGTTATAAGACATTTAATATTGCAAATTCCTTGTGATTTCGTATGAAATAACAGGTGAATTCCCCCAAATACTGAAAACTAATATATTTCATTTACACAAGTACTAAGTTTAGTTTCTTCAGTTTAGAAATACAAATATCATTATCTTTTGATTTATTTTAAACAGATTTTAAGTACTTGTATTATAAAATAGTAAAGGACAACTCTTGAAAGATATATATTTTGATAACAAGAGCCTGTTCTTGAAATAAAAGTGAGAAAACTGTAAAAAAGATATGTGCTGAAATATACCGATTAATCGATTGTTAAAATCTCCAATCGATTGTCTAAAATCGACAGCCTTTCCGACCGATCATCGATTATAAATCGATCATCGTGACAACACTATTGAAAATGATAAATAAAAGTACAGGGAATCCAGTTGAAATGAAGTTGCATTGTAAGTAATTGTCTAAGTTTATGTTCCATGATCATAACATATTTATTTATAATCATATTTGCCAAAAAAGGTATACAAGATTTAATTGTTCATCCAAGTGAGGTAAGCACATAAAATTTGTAGTTTTATTTACTTAACTGAAAATTATTTAACTTTATAAACCCATTTTAAACCCTAAATATTGGTAGTAGGTCACTAAATTCAGGAGTCATTCTCTTTTTCTTCATATATGGGTACTTTATGTCATTTTCCTAACTGTAATTCTTATGCTATATATAAATACTTCTTTATTCCCCCCTCATTTGTTTAGTCCATGGGCCTTTACATTGCTTAGAAAAAAAAATGAGGTGTTGAAAAATAAAAATCTTAAGCGATCCAAAGGCCTGTGGTTTATTCTTTTCTTTTTTCCCAGTAGTATGTTTTTTTTTTACACATTTCTTCATGTAATTTGTATTATAATATGAAATGATATGGTCAGGCCTAGAAAAAAAATATGTTTGTTTCCGCTTTCAGGCTGAAAAAATATAGGGTAGGTAGGTAGGCAATTTTTTTTTTTTTGAAAAAATTTTTTTGGCTTCTTTAATCAAAACGTGTATAGAAGTAACATTAATGACAAAGGAAATGGTGTTTTCAAGCATTACTGTGACTTAACTTATAATAGAAAGGTGACCCAAACTTCTTTCTGTCTTGAAAAGCTTGCAAAGTTGGAGGCTATAATTCCCTGGTTGAAATCTTGCACATCATGAGACAAAAGCATTAAAAAAATATTTAGGGTCGGCACTATAAATTAGGGTCGGTCGGGAAAGTGGAAACAAACATATTTTTTTTCTAGGCCTCAGTGAAGATCATAGCTGCAGAACTGTAGCTCTCTGCTTGAAAAAATTCGGACAGATAAAGCAGAGAGCTACAGATCCAAGCGTTGTAAAACCTTCAATTTACGATTTTTTTGTCGCTACTTTAGCTATTTATTTCGTGTAGTTTAAGCTTTCTCTGGCTTTTAGAATGGTATCCTATAATAATTCATATATGGTATAAGTAGAATTTTTCGCGAGGATTTAATTTTGGCATTATTAGCGAGGGTGCTGACATCGCTAAATTTGAATATCGCTAAAAATTAATTGCGTATTATTTGTAATAGCTTCTTTAGTAAGCACTTTAAAATCACTAAAATTACTTCTCGCTAAAAATTAGATACCAGATTTAGGTAGAAATCGCTAAATTTGCGTCTTGCTAAAATTTCCACTTATATGGTAGTTAACTCTTATATTTGATACTCTGTTTACCAAAACAGTTCTGTGTATAGTTTTGTAATGTCGGTTTAAAAGAGTTCCATTTCGACATCCGTAACCACAAACAGCCATTTCTTTAGCATTGAGAGGTGAGTAAATGATCAGGAATTGAAGTTGAATGTATGATTAATTATTAAATACCATTTAAAATCATTTTCAAAGCTGGGGAAAGTATAAAATACACGAAAAAATACCCAAAGTGAGCGACAAAAAATAGTTGGCGTAAATCGAAGGTTTTTACAACGTTTGGATCTGTAGCTCTCTGCTTTATCTGTTCGAATTTTCTCAAGCAGAGAGCTACAGTTCTGCAACTATGAAGATCAAAGTTAGTTCTTCATATATAGAAATCTATGCAGCATAACAAAACACTTCTATCCTCTTTTCCTATTTTCTAAGCAGTACTGGTATATGTTTATTATTGTACAGTTTTTGTTATAATATACATAGCAGAATTTCATTTTTACTACAGTATTAGTACCAAATTTTGCTATTACCAGTGATTCATTGAGATTTTTAGGTCACCTGAGTAACTCAGGTGACCTATTGCTATCCGTTTTCGTCCGTCGTCGTGCGTTATGCGTCGTGTGTTAACATTTGAACATTTTCAGCTTCTTCTCTGAAACCACTGAACCAATTTCAACCAAATTTGGTATACAGCATCTATGGCTGAAGGGGAACAAAAATTTTGAATTTTACGGTCCCTGCCCCCCTGGGGCCTGAGGGGTGGGGCCAAAACCACCAAAATTTTTGCAATCTTTAAAAATCTTTTTCTTTACTCCTGGACATCAAGCTGTCAAACTGTTGGCATGAATGTAATGAGCATTGAGTTCTCTACAAAAATTGTGAAATTCATGGCCCCAGGGTCAGGGGTTCTTGTGCTAAGGCGGGGCTATATAGATAATATAGTGAAAGTGCATTATTTCTTTGAAAATAATCTTCTTCTCTGCTCTTGGGTATTAAGTAAACTAACTAAGTACATAGTTATGTTAAGCAAGAGTGCCTCTTCCAAAATTGTGAATTTTATGGCCCCAGGGTCAGGGGTTCTGGTGTTAGGGCGGGGCTCTATTGATCGTATAGTGAAAATGCATTTATTCTTTGAAAATCTTCTTCTCTGCTTCTGGGCATTAAATAAACTAACTAAGCACATAGTTATGACGAGCAAGAGTGCCACTTTCAAAATTGTGAATTTTATGGCCCCAGGGTCAGGGGTTCTGGTGTTAGGGCGGGGCTCTATTGATCATATAGTGAAAATGCATTAACTCTTTGAAAATCTTCTTCTCTGCTTATGGGTATTAAATAAACTAAGTAAGTACATAGTTATGATGAGAAAGAGTGCCTCTTCCAAAATTTTGAATTTCATGGCCCCAGGGTCAGGGGTTCTGGTGTTTAAGGGCGGGGCTCTATTGATCATATAGTGAAAATGCATTAATTCTTTGAAAATTTTCTTCTCTGCTTCTGGGTATTAAATAAACTAAGTAAGTACATAGTTATGACAAGCAAGAGTGCCTCTTCCAAAATTGTGAATTTTATGGCCCCAGGGTCAGGGTTTCTGGTGTTACGGCGGGGCTCTATTGATTATATTGTGAAAATGCATTAATTCTTTGAAAATCTATTCCTTTGCTCCTGGGTTTTATGCCAATGATCCAAGTATATATATATTTGTGATGAATGGTGCATCTAGCAAAAACGTTATTTTTTATGCCCCTTGGATCGGGGGGGGGGGGGGGTAACATAGTCTGAAAATAAATTAATGCTTTGAAATCTGCTCTTTAGTATTAATCAACCATTTTATGATAAAATTTGCAAAATTTTGAAATATGTGGCCCCAGGGTCAGTGGTTCCTTTGGGGTGAGGTGCACAACTGGTTATAAAGTGGAAGTGCATTTTCTCTTTGTTACTCTGATCTACCTCTGGGTATTAAGTAAATAGAGTAAGCATGCTAAGTTTATAATTATGATAAGCAATGGTGCCTCTTTCAAAATTGTGAATTGTGAATTTCATGGCCTCTGGGGTAAAACACAAACCAATTTTAATTATTTGAAAGTTGTTACACGATACTCAGGTGACCTATAAGGCCCGTGGGCCTCTTGTTTTATGTACTTTGTCCAGAATGGCTGAATTGCACACGGAACTTTGCAAAGATGTTATTGTGGTTTCAAGTGCTAGGATATTTGAAAGTGAAAAGAATATTTGAGAGAGGGTTATTTAAAATATAAAATACAGTTTTAAAGAAACAAAGCATTTGTCTGATGACTGAAGAATTTTTCAAGATTTATTTTTCTTTGTGTTTGGCATATATTCAAAGTAGACTATAATAGATTAGTTTTGTATTTGTAGATCTTTGTTAATTTTTAGTTCCTGGTGTCTTGGATACTGCTGTTATGGCAGACAAAGGGAAGCCTGCCAAAAGACGTCACGTTTTTCTGTTTCCTTCAGTACTCCGTCCCAGGCTTATTGTACAGCGTCAGTAACAACCTATCCATGATGATGCAGGTTTATATGGACCCCACCACATTTCAGGTAAAGCTAATAGGCTTCAGTGATACTCATACTTAAGATATTCCACATATTCATGAAAATGTTGCATATGTGTTAAAAAATAAATCTGATATTTTCAAGCTTAATGGGTAATGTAGGTCATTTTGGTGATTGAAATGACACAAGTCTGCGAATATTTCTTGACATTGTTTTATTGAATTACCAATATTGTAAAAAGATCTACGTTTTATATTTTATTGTTTGGTACCCAATGTTAAAGATTCTTTGTATGATTTGTTGTTTGAAATGATAGAATAAATTGAATTTAACAACCAGCATTACTTTTGAAGAAATTTTTGTTATATGCTTTTTTAATTCATTTAAGTGTTCTGTACCATCACATTTTTCAAATTTTTAAATACACAGGCACTTTCAGGATTATGCAAACTTTTCAGCTGAAGACCCTGCATGATTACTTCTATTTGAATGATTAGGTAAATTTACAAATTGTGGGTGAAAATTAATAAACAATTTACAGCAGTTTGCACATTTTCTTACTTACAAGAATATACATGATCTTTCTCCTATCTCCATGGCACATTAGAACCTAACTCTGATTTCATTTAGTAAGTTTGTAAGCAGTCTTTTAATGATATACAGTGATATGACAAAAGTATTCATGATTTTTACACAATGGCTAATATGTTTCCATTATTCACTTAGTCCATGAAAAGGGAAATAACTTTCAATACAGATCATGTTGAACTTTCAAAAAAATATTTTTGGTAAAAATTGATGTAGTTACCATAAACTTCATTGTTTGGACCATAGAATTTGGAAAATGTTGACTTTAAACAAGCTTGTTCATACCCTGGTGATATCAACTTATTTGTCAGTAAAGACATTTTACAATAAATACATATGGAAATTATGTTAAAAAGCTTGCAATGTATGGTTGTATTTAAGGATGACTTTATGGTGGTATTTTCTCGGGGAGGGAGACAACATATTGACAGAAGACTGTAACTATAGAGGATTTCACTTAGTACCAACATGTTCTTAAATTACTTAGCTTAATGTTTTATCATTATAGAAATTATTATGATAATTATCTATGCACTTTGCAGTAGATATTGAATACAGCTTTGTTTCATTTGCAGTTCTATTTTGTGGAAGGAAAAAGTACTAAATGCTTCTCTGATAGATGGCTTAAACTATACATGTATAAGTTTGTTATAATTAATGGGTGGTAAACAATAATTCTGAAATGATTGGAGACTACGAAAATAATTTGAGTGAAAACAAAGCTGTATACAGTGACTTGTAATGGGAATTATTAACCATAGTTTCATTGAAAATAGTTTTTGTAGCAGACTAACATTGTGTAGTTTTGTTTTGGAGATAACATGTTGTATAGAAATAATTTGAAATTGATTGTTAAATATTTACATTCAGTGAAATTTTTCTTTATGAAATCCATTAGAAATCCACAACATTAAAATCTCTATAACACAAGCAAAACCTTGTCACCACGGGTTAGAATACACAGTAGGGACTATATGCATTTTAAATACTCTAGGAAAACGAAAATGTACGTTTTATATCAATGTAATGAAAAAACTATAACCCTAATAAATTAATGTAAAAATACAACAAATGTGCGTTTAAAATTAATTTGTCATTTAATTTAACTTTGCAACGTCACAAACAGCTCTTACCTCTGTTAACCACACCAGTTTTGAAGGGTGCTGAATTCACATTTAAGGGGGCCGACTGTAGTTTTTTTGCGGGAAAACTACAATAGCGAAACTCTTTATTTCTATACCATACATTACTTACACTTGCCTTGTTATACATGCAAAGTTTCAGCAAAATCTACCGTCTGTTTGTATCGCATGCATAATTTTTTCTAATTAGCTAATTACGCATATTGACAATCTCCTAGAAAACTACAACAAACAAAAACCATCATGTGCGCTATGATGCGCAAGGAGCGATAACTCGAACTATAGTCGGCCCCCTTAAGATTTAAAAAAATAAACAATTATGAAGAGGAAAAATTTAAAGAATGTAAATATAAGCATTGAATTCATATTTTTGTATGTCATTGGTCCTATAACACACCTGGCCGTGCCGACAAATTATCATGCCCCGTGGTATTCAATTTGTTGGCATGGCCAGGTGTGTTATAGGACTGACGACATCCAAAAATATGAATGCAATGCTTAATTGTATGTGAGAGAGAGAGTCACAATGGCAATCCATATTTGGTTTCCTTTCATCAAGAGCACCAAAAGTAAAACGAAAGATTAATCATCATACCTGGTATCTTTATAACTACATTTTCCAAAGTCAATTAAAGTGAATGATACTTTCCTCAATTAATAATAAACAAGTAGTAAGTTTGTGCAATTTTTTGCTGGAATTTCAAATATTCAAACATTTCAGTGTGTACAGTTACTCTACCTCTTACAACTTAATGTGTTATTTTATCAGAAGACTCGGTTTGCACTTATAAATTCTAAAATACAATGCATTCTGAAATAATTCTGTCAGTAAATGTCCACTTGAAAATATTCTAATTTTTGTGGTCATGAGGAGAAATTCATTCAGTATAGTGTTTTTGTTTCTTTTACAAATATTCTTTGTAACTGTTAGTTAAATTCATTTTTACTTGTATTTCAGTGCATTGATTTTTCATACGATTCATTTCTAATCACCAGTATACATTATCGATTTACTTTGACATTTTAGGTACTAAGCAATCTTAAAATAGGTATAACAGCTTTGCTGTATTGGAGTTTCCTTAGGAGGTATGTTGTCTTCTTACTATAAAAGTTTAGACTGCACACAGATGAATTCAAACTTGTTTAATTCAACCAATGATATTAGAAAGTTCAACTTATTATATGATTAATTTAAATTATTTCTAACTCTCTGGTTGGCTGAGATCCCCCATTGTAGGAATCACATTACTAAGTTATGTTCTCCTGAATGAGACTTTCCAGGTCAACATTTATTTATTATCACATTGGAATAAAAATAAATCCCAAGATTCCAGTTTGCTATAATTACTTACTGTCTGATTAAAATCAAATCTTCACCATCTCCTTTTTATTTTGATTGTCACTTTGAATGAATATATTAAACACAATGTTGAAACAAAGAGTAAGTAAATTTATATCTATGACATTATATTTTACAGGCCTCTGTCTCTACGTCAGTGGATTGCTATAGGAATTTTAACAACAGCGGGAACCCTTGACAGGTAGTGTATTTGTATTGTTGATGAAATTAGGTAATTTATTGAGTCATATCTATTTATGCCCCCTTAATTGAAGATTTGGTGAATATAGATTTTGTCCTGTCTGTCTGTCTATTTGTCTGTCTGTCCCCCCCAAAATTTAACCTTTCTCATAAATTTTGATTGGTTGGACCTATGGCTTTCATATTTCATAAGTGTATTGCTTGTGACAAGACCTTTCTTTAAGAACTAACATAATAACATAATTTTAATGATGTCTTTACCTTGACCTTGAAGTCTGAACCACTTTTGCAAAAAAAAATTCCAAAGTTTAACATTGGCCATAACCTTTGAACAGTTGGGCTAGGCCTTTCATACTTCACTTGTATTTTCATTGTGGCAGGGCCTTTCCTTTGGTATAATTATGTTTGACCTTGACCTTAAAGTTTGACCCACTTTTTTAAAAAAAAATCAACCTTGGACTTAACTATTAAACCTAAAGTATGAGGGCCGATACATTTCTCAGGTATATTCTTTTGTGACAAGGTTTTCCTTTGGATAACACAACTTTGACCATGAAGTTTGACCTACATCTGGAAAAAACTATTATATATTTCACATGTAAATTTCTTTTGACAAAAGACTTCCCTTGGGTATCATTAACTTAAGTTTGTCCTATTGACCCTGACCTAACAGGGTATTTTTATTTCAAGATAAAAGTAAAATTAAAATAAAGGATTTGAAATAAATTCCACAAAGGAAATTGACAAAATAGGGACTTAGATTTTTAATGACAAGAAAGCTGTTCTAATAACTTGAAACAACCTCTGCTCATATGACATTATGTAAATTTCAAGTTATTTGAACAGCATTCTATGCTTTCATCAATATTCGTTGAGCACCAATTTGCGAGGAATTCGTTTTTAGCAGATCCACAAAATTAAATGTTCATTGAATTGAGAAATTTGTTTTCATTTGTATCGACAATGCTTTTGTCCACGAAATTACGTATTCTCGAAAATGTCAGTTTTACAAAATTCACGAAAATTGATGGCAACGAAAATTGATGAAACCACAGTGCCTGCCATCAAGAGAAAAATCTATGGAACCAAGGTATATGTAAGAGGGTGATTAAAAATAGGCTATAGCTCTTGTTGACTAGCTTAATTTGATGAAAAGTAATTAAAACAATTTGAAGGTCATTCAGAATTTTATGGGGTGGGGTGGAATCAGCATGTCCATAGAATAGAATATCAAGGTTTAATCAATCCAAGAAAAAACTTTTTCATGGGATTCATTTAATTAGGATTCAATTTTCTGGTAAGATTCACAGCTGATTATTTGATATCTTTGTCACTAAAAGTAGCTTTTTTTTATTTACTAAGAAAGCAAAAGCTTGTTAAAGGGTCCCTTCTTTTGTCAATTCCATTGTGGAATTTGGTTGTTAGACATGTACACTTATAGAGTAATCCCAGATTGTAACATGAACATGGAGTGAGAAACTAGTAGTGCTTTACAAGATTAAAAACATTATTTCACTTGACTTTTTTCATGTCTACAATGTGTTCTTTTGTAGCTATGGAAGTTTTAAGTCCAAAGGGAAGGAATTTTCTGAGCTATACATCACCATTACAGGACTCGTTATGATAGGAATCCAGTGTACCGTGTCAGGAATGGCCTCGGTGTATGCAGAGTATATACTTAAAAAACAAAAAGAGGTAAATCATTCAGTTAAGATTTACATTTATGATAAATTTTCATATTTGAATGACATTAAAAGAAAAGATGTACAATGCTATTGACTTTTGCACGAGAGAAGATGGTGCATTCCCTTTTGATTGTCCTTTTATATTTGACTTTACATCATTGAAGTTTAATATACTTTTCAAAAATTAAATACTGGTACTTGTACATTTTTTGGACTTCATGCCCTTGGCTTAGAAGTTTGACCTACTTTTCAAAGGGCTGTAACTTTTTCATCAGAAGCTTTTTTGCATAAATTGTAACAACTTCACCTAAGCCAGAAGCTCAAAGGATGGCCTAGTGTAACTAGGATTGGGCTCTTGTTGGGGATCAATGTGGTATGAAATCATTTTACAAGTTATAGTCTTTCTGAATGAATCTGTTATCACTATCATTGTATTACATTGTACTTTTGTTTTAGATGTCCCTCCACTTTCAAAACATTATGCTGTACACTTGGTTAATGATCATTAACACTTCCTTTTGGATCTATGAAGAAACAGTTGATGAAGAAAAAGGTAAATGACTAAGTATGATTTTTTTTTACCCTAATGCTTCATGACAAATTTAGAATTCTAAATGACAGTCCCTTCGTTTCACTTATAAGGAAGATGAAATAAAATTCATTCACTGATATACATCATTTATATTTTATGAATAAACTTTCTTTAACTGCTGCTTTATAGACATCACCAAGAAGTTTCACATATTCAGAGGTTATTCACTGGCCACTTGGATGATAGTTATTACCCAGGTAAATAATTTACAAAAACTGGTTAGTTACCAATATTTTTATTCAGTCAAATAACAGCTAGAATTTTTTTTATCAAAATGTATATATGAGTATTTGTGACATTCTTTATTTTTGTCTTATATGAGAAATATGTGTAATGATTTTGTAGATATACATCAAATGATTTTGTAGATAAATGATGAATGATTTTGTAGATATATGTTGGCCTAGCGATGTCTTTCATCTTGAAACACGCCAGTAACATAACCCGCCTGTTCGTGGTGTCTTCCTCTCTGAGCGTGACAACCATTCTGTCTGTTCTAGTCTTCGGATTACATTTAAATTCTTTCTTTTTCACATCACTAGGATTATTGTTGTTATCGCTATATCTCTTTCATGGTGCCAAGTGATTATTGCTTGTTATATAATATGGTGTTAGAAAAATTTAACAAATGTTAGTATATTTTTATTTTTTAAGTGGAAGTATTAATGGCTATAACTTAAACATTGTATACCTAGAGTAAATGTATGTAGTCTCATACTTGTTGGTTTTAGGGGGGTTTGCTATACTTGCCAGACTTTTTGGTTTTAGGGGTTTTTTGCTATACTTGCCAGACTTATATTGTCTATTTGAATTTTTTTAAATTTTTATTTTTATTTTGAAAACTGTCAGCATTTATTAGTATTTATAGGAATTTGTATAAATTTATTTGAAATGTATGCCAATTTTTATGTGTAAAGTATGTACATGTATGCATATTTTTTCAATGAGAAGAATAATTTACTTGATTAATTTTTTTTAATTGAGTTGTTCAAGTAATTTCAAATCAGAAAAATGTTGGGGTTTTTTTTATTTAAGTCCAAACAAACCATACAGAAAGATGAAGTATGGATTAAAAATTTGATACTTCTTAGAAAGTAAAAACCGATGGTGATACAGATGTAAATGTATGTGAGATTCTTTATATTGGCTGCATTTCATTTCCGTAATTTTTAGCAATTATCATTTCTGACATTTTTTAGTTTTCATTTCCGACATTTTTTTGTTTTCATTTCCAACATTTTTCAGATAGAACCTTTACTAACAGATTTGAAGACATGTCTGATTACCTATGAAAAATTTAAAGGAATACAAATTATAAATAAATAATTGAAATCCAGTATCTGCGTTTTTGAAACAATTGTGACAATAGAAAATGTAGGCAACTACCTGAATTACAGTTTGAGAAATTGACTCAATGTTTACTCTGCGTTGATGTAAAGCAGAAAAAAATAAAGTTCTGTGTAGAGCAGTATAATAAATGCGATATAAACCGGAGTAAAAACTGGATTAGAGTACATCAAGTGTCTTGGACACAAGTTTGCATGATGCTGTCACTGACATTTATTTTAGTGCACATTTAATGAGGTGAAAAAGTTGTATGTTCATTGAACTCTTTTACCTAGACTTATGCTACATGTATGCATATATGTATAATAAATAGATTTTTTAAAATATATTTTTAATCAATATTTTGCAATAAATACTTTTAAAATTTCATTTTTGCTGACTAGGAAAACATCAAATTGCCGCACAGGTAAATTCCGGAAATAAAAACAAAATTATGTCGGAAATGAAATTAAAAAATGTCGGAAATGAAACCAAAAAATGTTGGAAATGCTATGCAGATTTCCGGAAGTGAAATGCAGCGTTTATTTTTCACATTTCTTTAAGGGACCCACACACATCTGATATTTAATACCCAAATTTCATCTGTGTTTTCAAACTTTTTTTCAGCTTTATTTAATTGTTTAAAATCATGTTTTGTGTTGCATTCATCTTAGGCTTGAAAATATTCTTTTAAAATGCTTTATGATTAAAATTTAATTTTAAACAAACAAAAAATTATTTAGAGAGAAAATTTTTTTTTATTAAAAACCTTTAAAGGTAAAGTAAGACTCAATATTTTGAACACTGTTTTGTATCTTAACTTTGAAAATAATGTAATGTTTAAATTGGCAAGTGATTTGAAAGGTCAGGATGTGAATTCTTTAAATGAGCAGGTAATTTAGAACTTAATACATATTATCACAACAATCAAGATTTTATTATTTTTTTTTTTGATAATGCATTTATAACATATTTTGTTTGTTTGTTTGTGTGTGCCATTTAAAAAAGGAGATTAAATTTTAATGACTTTACCAAGTAAAGTCATGTATTTTTTCTTTAATATGTTGTTAGTTAATTAGTGTTTTCTGATTGGCTTTTTTATGATAAGTTTTTATATTTTAGAGAGAGTGTGTGTGTGTGGAGGATGGGGGGTGTTTAGTGAAAGTGAAAGATTTAGCAGAACTTTTGAACTTTTGAAAAGATGCTGGTACATGTACATGTAAGAACACAGCATTAATAACATTGTAACCTACTCTGTACACCTTTTCTCCAGCTTACAATACATTCAATTTTGAATGTAGTATAATGGAAAGAAAACCCATGGTTTCTGTTGTTAATTCAGCAGTATTAAATTTGCTATTTTACCATGTTCACCCTTTTTTTAAAACCTTTTTGATAACTCAATTCTACAAAGGAAATAATTAAAGCAAGTTTGTGCTATTTGGTGTCAGCACACAGTTCTTTTTGCAGTGGGTGTTTTTATAAGAGATTTATTCACAAATGTGAGCTCAGTTTGTAAGAAAAAGTATACTACCATGGGAGTTAGAGTTAACTTACCGTATGTATCTTGATTTTGCCTTGCAGATTACATTTGTCATTGTGAGCTTTGTACTGTTTTGTTACCTTATGTGCTTTGTTATTTTTTATTAGATTTATGGATTTTTACTTCCATACATGAATCTAGAGAGACAGTCATAGGTACTGGCTATTCTTTTGTGTACTTATCGAAAATATTTCCTATAAACTAGAGTACGTCATGTTTTCCATTAACTCTTAACAAATTTTGTCCACAGAGGCCATTTTTTTTAATTAAAAGAATGATAATCACTGAATGATTTATTATTGTACTGGCTACAAATTAAATCCCCTTAAGATGTTTAAGTACATAAAAGCATCTCGAAAAATTACATTTGATTTAACTAACCCCTTGTGACATTTTTTTTCTTGTGAGCTTGACCTTGCATGTTCATGTGAACTTCTTTTCCAGTCAGGAGTACATGGAAATTGCTTATAGAGTGAAGAAACTAAAAATATTCTCCAAGTCTATTCCAAAGTTTCAAGAAGGGCTTTCTAAGGTTGAAGTCGTGAACAGAACTAAACATTTTTTCCTCTCTTTAACTCAAAACTAAATACAACAGTAACTCTAAACCATTGGACTGATGACGTTTGTGCAGCCCTTGCACAGAAGCCTTTTTAGCTCACCTGAGCTGAAGTTTGTCTGTAAACTTTTCACATTTTCAACTTCTTCTCAAGAACCAATGGGCCAATTCTAACCTAACTTGGTACAAAGCATCCTTGGGTGAAGGAGAGTTTAAATTGTTAAAATGAAGGGCCAAGTGCCCTTACAAGGGGAGATAATCAAGAAAAGACAAAAATAGGGTTGGATCATTAAAAAATCTTCTCAAGAACCACTGGGCCAGGAAAGCTGAAACTTACGTGGAAGCATCCTTGGGTAGTGCAGATATCAATTTGTTAAAATCATGACCCCCAAGGGTAGGGCGGGGCCACAATAGGGAATCCAAGTTTTACATAGAAATATATAGAACAAATCTTTAAAAATCTTCTTTTCAAGAACCACTAGGCCAGGAAAGCTGAAACTTATTTGGAAGCATCCTTGATTGTGTAGATATTGAATTACTAAAATCATGACCCCCGGGGGTAGGACGGGGCCACAATATGGAATCCAAGTTTTACATCGAAATGTATAGAGAACAAATCTTTAAAAAAAATTTTCTCAAGAACCACTGGGCCAGGAATACTGAAACTTATGTGGAAGCATCCTTGGGTAGTGTAGATATTAAATTGACAAAATCATGACCCCGGGGGTAGGGCGGGGCCACAATAGGGAATCCAAGTTTTACTTAGAAATGTATAGAACAAATCTTTAAAAATCTTCTTCTCAAGAACCACTGGGCCAGAAAAGCTGAAACTTATGTGGAAGCATCCTTGGGTAGTGTAGACACATTGTATTAAATTGTTAAAATAATGACTAATACCTAAAACACGGGCCAAAATTGTTCCACAAATTCCAGACAGTAATGCTTTATTTCTCCTAAACTGGGAGGAATCCAAGTTTTACGCAGATATATTTATGAATATTGGAAAAATCTTTTACACAGAATACTTTTTAAAAAACACTAAAAACAAAGAAAATACTAACGAAATGGAACATATAAACAATCTAGAAGCAATCAAACTTTATGAAGAAGAAGGAAGGGTAGGAATCAACAAAAGTATTCAAGGAAAAAAAGTATTAAAATCATGAAAGGGGAGGGGGTGAACGAAGGGGGCATCATAAAACTACAATGGTATAGAAATTATCTTTGTTTATAATACATGTTAATTATTTTAATGTAAAGAACTGTATCACCCAAGGTACTCAGGTGAGCGATGTGGCCCATGGGCCTTTTGTTTTATGTTCTCTTCATCCTTGTGTAGTAAAATGATGTCATAAGGTGCACTGGTTATAAAATGCTTTAGGTTCTAAGTATGTATTAGGAATTAGTTTTTAGCCTTCTTTGTATAAAAGGAAAAGTCTTCATATGTTTTAATTACCAGCAGTTACATTTGCACAGAAATAGATACAGATATCAAGCCTTAACTCACTTGTGTACTCTTTCTTCTGTAAACAAATTTTTGTAAAGTACAAAAACAATCTTTTTTCAATGAAAGTACATCATTTTATTCACAAAGGCAACAATACTTTTCTATTCCATGGTATGGAATGGCCCAATACGGCAAAATGGGCTAAAATAACTTGCAATTTTACATGAAAAACTAGTCCATAAATTATTAAAATTATATAATATTTATCGATAATATCAATAAAATGGGAAGATGTGAGGTATGCAGAAAGCTAAGTGTGCCTTAATTTCACTATAAAAATTGCAAATAAATGTAAATGAAATGACTTGACTACCCGTTCAGCTAAATTTTAAAGGAATACTGTATACAGTGAAATTTTCGATACCCGTTTTATTTTCACTCGGTTGGGCGAATTTATAAAAGGGAGAATTCAACAAACACAGTATAGTAATATTACATGTAATATCTTAAAGAAAACTGTGACTGGGCGAATTCAAAATGGGGGAAAATTGCTTGCAAGTGTGAAAGGGCGAAAATAACCCTGTATACAGTATAAAGTTTTTTAACAGTTTTACTTGTTTAAAACAAAAAGACAAATGCAACAGAATTATGAAATACATTTTGTTGGTAAAATGTTTGTTTCATCTGAAGTCACTGTAAATGCATATGATACCACAAAAAATAACATAAACAAAATGATACTAAGTCTAGTAAAATGTAAGAACATGGAAAAGATGAATGAAAAATGAAAGACAAAAACACTTCTAATAACAATGCTTACAAATACTGGGGAATAACATGCTTAGATAAATAAATTGTTTATTTTAAAAAATCACAATATTAGACACTAATAAAGGAAGAGAGGCTACATGCCCATATAATGTAAAAGCAAACCTCAGCAGTTAAATAATTCAGTAGGATTTTCTTTCTTCCATTTATACTCAGGCAATTGTTTTTAAATAATAATAAATTCACATAGTACACATCCTGAATAAAGATAATTTTAACAATGATATGATTAAAAGTGAAACTAATTCTAGTAGGACAAAATTCCTCGAAGCACACATCATTGAGATGATAACATCTGGTAGCGTATATGCAATCTGAAACTGGCTAGTGATCAGTTGGACAAATGTTACATGCTTTTTCTAATAATAATTGTGCATTTCCTACTAAAAACCCTACCTTAAGTACCAATTTGAAATTCTTTAAACAATTTTCAAAGTCAGTCTTTTATTTATGAATATATTCAGTGTGTTCAGTATTTGAATGAAAAATATACTATTCCATTCAAGCAAGTCTTCCAATGCATTAAAGATTATACACAAATATCAGTCATTACATATTTTGTATCACAATGTTTAATTTATTCAGATATTTAAGTAATGTATAAGGAATAAAAAGGGAAAGTACTTGCAAAATGTTGGCACTATATGTGAAATCAAAGTAAATTTTATTTAACAATGAAAGAAAAAGTGAGCAAGCTCACATACCCCACGCTCCCCCAAAATTTGAAGTGCTGAAATTCCCACAAAAAATAAAGGAATCGGAATTCCCTGGTAATATGCACATCTACACACTGTGTCCTAAATGTCTGCAAAGTTTGACCAAGTTCTGTGCTGTGGTTTATGAGGAGTTGCAATGACAACTGTTCATCTCTATGTTCAAGATATGGCCAAAAATCCAAGTTGAAAAGTGCCGAAATTCCAGAAAAATAAAGGAATCGGATTTTCCTGGTAATATGCACATCTACACATTGTATCCTAAATATCTGCAAAGTTTTATCAAATTCTGTGCAGCGGTTTATGAGGAGTTGCGCTGACAAAAAAACAGGACTGATGGACTGACTGACACACTGACTGACGGATGGGTCAGAAACATACCTAACGCAACTTGTTGCGTGGGGTATAAAAAGGGTTCCTATATGGTAAACAATCCAGAGTGGTCTAGTGGCACTATACATAGCAATGATAATGAAATACATATGTAGGAAATTAGGCTGGACTGAGGACATCGGCCTGGATAGCTCAGTGGTTAGAGCACCTGACTAGGGTTCCAGCCATATGTTTTCAATATATATGTATTTATGAATTTTCAATGTATGTTTACTCATTCCTCCTTTCCATACTACACATACAACACAACAAACCAATTTGAAATTAACACACACTGATAATTTTAACTGTCTTATCGCACTATAAATAGCAGCATTCAAGTCAACAATTTTTTTTTTATTTATGAAATAACTGAACAGTTGAACATTGTCTTTGGGTAATTAGTCTTACACCTCTCTCACTCTGCAAAAGATATGGAAGGGAGGGTTCACCAAGCAGTGTGAATCACTTTCATTCAAGTGAAAAAAATATACTGAAGAAGGCAAATGATCACTGCATGCTCACAAATATTTTAAAAACTTGAAGCAGTTTATGATACGTGATATCAAAGAAGGCTTCAACTGTGAATAAACCAGTAACAGGTTTATCATCCATGATCTATCAAAAGATTCTGTAAATGTACTTATTTTAGCAGGAATTATCAAAAGATACTGCAAAACATACTTATTTTAGCAGCTCTTTTATTACTGCCTCCTGTCTGCTTATATCAAAGTACATGCTATATGATAAAATTGGGCTTCTATTAAAAAAAAATTGCTCTCAATTTTTTCAGTGCATTAATATTACTTTATGTACATTAACATTAATTGGTTTTAGGTCTGTTTTCAAAACTTTGTGTACCTTTCTGCAGATATCATAATGTTTATAAAAAATGAAACATTAAATGTGGACTTCATACCATCATTTGGCCTGAATCCTAGTCCTGGTTCACCTTCCAATTTTTCTTGTTTGAGCTTCAGTCAGTCACATTTTTTAAACATGTCCTACATTTTCAATTCAGAATATATCATCAGCTAAGCTTAAGGTGTGTAGTAAGGTTCATCATAATCATGTGAAAAGTTTGCATGCTAGATGTCAGTTGAATAAAATATTTATATCCCCTTGCAACTAAGTAATTTTCAGGGGATACAATATTTCTAATAGATTTTGCCCTATATAGTTTAGGCCTCAGAGAGGCAGAGGCAGGGATCTATAAATTTACTTCTGTTCCCCCCTTTTCTCAGAAATACTATAAACTGGTATAAAGATGTATTCATGCATTTCCAAGAAGTTGGTAAACATTTTTCAAAAACTTACATCTGATGGACATTGCATGACAGATTGGAGTGTCTAAAATGACCTAAAACCCTGGCTACAGAGTATTTTTCATAGCATTTAAAGGTTTCAGTAATCATAGCACTGTTAAATTATAAATCAATGTAAGCCAGCATACTTATACTTTCCTCTGTTTTTTGAATTGCTCACTCCCCCCTCGTATAGATTTCCTTTTAAGTGAGTCCCTTTTTTCTCTACTCTCCAATCCCAAGTCATCGAGACTACTACTCGAGCATGCAATAATTGAAGAAGTTGAAGACTGCGAGCTCAGACAGGTGTCACTGTCACCTTTGATTCGACTCAGTTCCGAGTAAACGTCAGCGAATTTCTGATCAAACTCTAAGATTTTTTTACTAAGGTCGCTTATCGTCTGGTTCTGTTCCGATATTAGGGTGTGCTGACTCTGTATTTTCTGTCCCAGTTCTGTGACCGTTTTGCTCTGCATATGAATCTTTCGTTCAGACTCCAATGTTTTCTTGCGTTGTTCTACATAACGAGCCTTATTCTCAGAAAGCTCTTTTTTCTGCTGTTGTAAGTTGGCCTGAAGTCCTCTCACTTGGTTTGATAATCTTGAAATTTCTTGCTTCATTGAATGTCCTCTTAATGTTCCACCATCATTCAATGCAACAACTTTCAAAGATGGGCCTAAAATAATATGAACAGTTACATATCATTATTTTTTCAATATTTGATACCAAAAACACAACTGGAATGGTGCATGCAAGTGTTTAGATTTGAAATTTAAAGAATTACTGTAGATTCCTTATTTTTGGCGAGTACTTATGATCGCGAAAGTTTCTTCAGCAGGCAGCAAATCATGAGAATAAATATTCGCGAATGGACGGTTGATCAAGAGATTTTACATAGATTTCAGCACAAAAAAATAAAGGCGAGTAATTTTATACCACGTGTGGTGCTTCTCGTGAAATTACGCGATAATTAATTCCACGTGTATATTAGGAATTTACAGTAATTAAATTTATACATTACACAGACAGAGCTGCCAACCGTTACAATTTCATCATGAGACTTCTGATTTGAGTGTCTAAAATATGCCTCAAGATTTCTTTATTACCTGGGTAATACTCTTTTCTGCATCAGAAGTTAAATACCAGAATCTTCATAGCTGTCCGCTTTAATTTTCACATTATAATAAAAAAATTAATAGTCATTTCAGCACTTGCTTGTGTTGAGTTACTTTGTCCATTTCTTTGCTAATAGCTAATAATCATAATCATTTTTATTTTAGCGTAAAATTTCCAGTAGTAATGTCCTAGGTGACCATAGAGTCCCCTCTTCACAATTTCTTATTTTATTAGGTTGGCAGCTCTGCACAAATTTAAAAAGAAATCAAATGGGAGAAATGGGAGAGGATTTTGGAACTTGTGTCCAATCCCTTTGACATGTTGTCAATAAAATATGTTCAAAACAAACAAAGACATCAAAGCATTTTCTTCCATCAAAAACATACTGCTTTTCCAAATCACAGCCGAACTGTGATTATTTGCTATATATGTATTACATACACAGGTTTATGACTAAAATGTACTAAAATAGTCATGACCAGTATGTCATATCATAACTTTTTTTTTTTGGGGGGGGGGGGGGAGGTTACCTGGACTCTGTTCCCTACTGGCACAGTCAGTGAAGGGATAAGGAAGAGTGACAGCTGGCATTTTGGTCTTTAGTGATGGAGCAATCTTTTCTTCAAAATGCTCCATAGCCATAGAGGAAATATCTCTGAGTTCTTGGAGGAATTCATGGGCCCTTGGGGGTTGTTGTGGGTGCTTAAGTGTATTTAGAATCCGGAAGAGTTCATCCAGGACCTAGAAAAGAGAAGCACAATTTTATCAACATAGTTTCCTATTCTATGAAAATCAATCTATCACTTAAAAAAATTATAAGATATCAGAACAATTGAAATGGAATGACTTCAAACGATGAAATTTATATCTTTTAAGAGGCTTGTTTTTCATTACAGATTAGATTACAATTTTTTTTTCAAGTTATGTTAAAAACGCATTAACTCTCTTACTGTTTCAGCAAAAGAAATATTAATTTACCTTGCCAGGAATAAAACAACAAAGACCCATGTCCATATATCTCATGTACGTCATTCCTAACAAGGATAGTCTTGTCTCGATTGCTGACAGGATGTCGACATGTCGAGCCAGAGGATGATTACGCCTCTCGGATTCACGTCTCGGAAGCTGACTTTTGACTCTCTTCTGTATTTGAGAATGAAGTTTGTCCACCTTTGAAAATCCACTGTTTAAAAGTTGTTCACAGAGTTTGTTGAAAATCTGACAAGCCTGGAAAAAAATTATGAGAAGAGGCTGAAATTCTAATGTCAAGTTACCTTCCCCTTTTTCAAAAGATTGACGGACTGATTAAAATTTAAAATGACAAAATTGAACCCCCCAAAATAATTAGTGATTTAAATAAATTCACAGAATACAAAATTTGTGCATAAACTGCCAAATTAAGCAACCATTGCTAAATTAATAAGACATTACTTCGTAAATAAAGAAAAACAAGCATCAACTCTTACATTCACCTGTCAGTGGCGTACATATGTACTATTGACTAATACCCCATTCATTCCCCATTTTCAAAAGTGAGTTATCTCCCCTCAAAATCGGAACTCTTCTACACTAGCCTAACTTCCGCGGACTACACATTACGATAATCCAACAAAATAGTGATCAACTTACACGCTGTATTTAAAAATTTTAAAAGAAGGAAACGGTTTGCATTTTTTTTAGATAATGAATTATTTTATACAAGGTCTGGCCCCCCCCCCCTTTCTAGAAAGCTATACGAATTAGCCAGACACGAAGCATCGTCTTTAAAAGTGGGAGGGGGGGGGGGGTAGCCAAAGAAATATTTTTTTCTTACCTTGAAAAGTTGACAAGCAAAGAAAAACCTTGCCCAAAGTTGAAAAAGCTACTTATTTCAGTACCAGTTCCTTGGCATACAATACTACATTTTTCTTATATAACTTTACCGTAGTATTAACTGTGTGTGTGTGTGGGGGGTGTGTGTGGGGGGGGGGGGGGGGGGGGTTGGCAACCTGTCTATCAATGAACATTTTCAATAGAAAAGGTAATATTGGGAAAAAAGTGGGGGTGGGGCTAAGCTCCTTGCCCCCCCCCCACCCCCCGTGCGTACAGGTACATAGAACGAATAATTATGTAAATGGGTTGAACAGTTGAATATGAACCATAGTTGTGAAAATTGAAAATTATTAGAATTACTATAATTGTGATTTCAATAAAATTACGGTACATATATTTTAACACAGATGTACATGTACGTCAGTTACAGGGTTACATGAGTCTCTCTCTCTCTCTCTCTCTCTCTCTCATTGTTTTTTACACACTTTGCAAAAAAGAATAACTTATAAAAAAAATTACATGTACTTACACTGAAAGGATTTTTAAAAAATAAATAACAGTTGAGAAAAGAATGTTTTCCGTTAATTAACGAGAAATACGCTAGGAAATTATTGTATCAATTTCGTGGTTCTGCTCTCAATTCTCTGATCTAAAACAAAATGTGTATTTTACTCGGGAATATACATGTACATATGCTTAGATCCTACACTAAAACTTTGATTAAATGCAGCTCAGACTTTATACGACATATGTAACACGAATTCAGGTCAATGCTATTTTAATTAGTCTTTCTTCGTTACATGAGGACATGAGATTAACTTATTCATTTAGAATTCTATTCAAAGTTTTAATACTACATATGGTGAATCAATTATTTTACAAATAAAAAATTCTAGAAACACTGTTAATTCAAATGAAATAGGCCTTTGTCACCAAATGTGTTCTTATAAAAGTAAAAGTTCTATGTTATGACATACAATCGAGCAAAAACGCAGTTTCTTGGTATCGGTCGCGGAAGACGAAGTACTGCTGTATATGCAGCAATTTCAGAGGTAATCATCAGTCTCCAAAAAATTCCTAGAGATACAAAGAAAATATGGCTGCAGCAGGCTAGATCAATTCTTAAAAACAGAGACGTATAATAGAAAAAAAAAAACTTTATAACTAAAAATTTGTTCCGCACATTTTGTAAATAATGATGATCCGTCTGCAGAATATCCACTACCGAAAATTAGCTTATTAGCTTTTTTTTTAATAGGCCTATTCGAATACGTATCAGCATTTTATCAGGAATTTGTTTCTTTTCTTTTTTTTTTGTAAGGGGGGGGGGGGGGCACACAGCACCTTATTATAGTACTACACAGATTAATAAAAATCCAGAAAGAGACTATGAGTGGGCAATTTAAAAAAATACGAATCAGTTAAGATTTCTTTTTATTCGCAAGCACAATAACATTTTTCCATATGACAGATGCATTACACCATAAACGTGTTTACATCAAGAACGTCCGCGGAAGTGACTTTATTTATAGCGCATGCGTATTAAACACAGTAAAAGAGTTCCCTTCAGGGGAAATAACTCACCTTTTGAAAATGGGGAATACGACATGATTTACATACCTCAGTATATTTTACACATAAGTAAATTTACTCACGTGTGCAATTTTTGTCATTTGAACGGATTTACTCATATGCAAATTCTGCACAGTGGAGTAAATTTACACCTGGTTAGGACTAGGTGCAAATTAACTTTTGCATACCTTTTGTAGCAAATTATTAGTTCATGTGTGTAAATTTTGTTGTATGAACACGCAGCAAATTTACTTATGTATGTATTTTGTTTTATTTATTGCATAAATCTCCATTTTAAGTGTTGTTTCGATTGTGTATGCATTGGTACGTAAAATATAAGTTGGTAAACATGGTGGCTAAAAGGTAAAACTCAAACAATGAGCCACTATCTCCTCCAAGATAAATTTTCGAATTTGATAAAAACGAGGGCATCTTGCGCCCTTTCTGGAAAACTTTTGTTTATATCTTTAAAGATAATAATAGTTGTGGTCGCTAACAAGTGCCCTGTAGGATCCAGGCAATAAGTACTGCCCTTACTATACAAGTTGTGTCCTTTGGAATGCTCCGAAGCTATGATAGGAACATAAATTGCTCGGGCCCAATTACCGTTTAGCTCTTGATGACCTTCTTCTGCCCTTCTTTGTTTTTAATCGAGACAAGCTACTCACATATAAGTTAATGTTACAGGAATTTCAATAAACTCGTTGAAAGTAAGCATTTGTAAGTATCCTCTTTGGCACATAACCCCATAATGTCCAGGGGTTCATGTTAATTTCCTTTTCACATATTTGTAGTGTTCAAAGATTTTTTGAGATCGGTCACTTTTAGTTGTCTTCATCCTTTTCATTCTCCTTGAAAATACATAATTACATATGACTGACGTTTTTCACACTAATTGTTAGTCAATTGTGTATACATGTTCACTGAATTGATGATAGATTTTTTCGTTATTTCCCCATCATGACAAAGAGCACACGGCGGGTGTGACCGGTCGGAAGGTGATGCTCACTCCTCCATGGCACTTGATTCCATCTCTGATGTTTTGGAAGTCCATGTTTGCTCTGCTCCTATTTTGTATTGTTTTATGGACTTTGATATTGAATATTCGTTATCTCTATATATCCTTCCTGTATCATTTTCAAGAGTATATTTTATAATGGCCTCACACACTTGATGTACTGTAGATTTACCAACACCAAAAAGATTCCAATCGTCCTATTTCTGCTGAAGACGTCAATCAGTAGATGGCAACAGTCATCTTTTTTCTTTACATCGTACGGCTCTTACAGTAAATAAAAATTTTAATAAATTTTTCTTCTTTGTGTGTAAATTCTTATACCGTTCTTTGTCCTTAAAACATTAACTTCCTTTTCTTTCGTACCAATAAAATTAGTGGATCAGATTTCCATCCTAGTCTTTTAGGAACATTCAGAAGTTAGTTTTTACCAAACAGTAAGAAAATACACTTTTTCTATAAAAATTCACAATTTTGAATCTGTCCATCTCCTTATTTTATATGGAAATATGAGGATTTACTAGCAGTACATAAATCTCGCCTGAACGCATAGCAAATTAACTTTTACTTATGTGTGTAGATTTACTTATATGTAAATTTGCACACATAAGCAAATTTTCGTCATATGAATTGGGTATAAAAGTGTTACATAGTGTATTTGGGTTTTTTTTTTGTTCAAAGTTTGCTTTAATTATTGCCTTTTAAGGTGGGAGTACACTAAATATATCTAGAACAATTACTTTAAAAAATCCTTAGAATTTCTTTTTTTCTTTCTTCAAAATTTGATCTTGATGGAAGCTTATTGCAGATAATCTCAGTGAGATGTTGAAAGGACTAAAAAGTTTGGTCTGGTCTGGACACCAGACCAAAATTTTTAGTCCTTTCAACATCTCGCTGAGGTTATATTGCAGATAGTGATCGAGGCGTATTAAAGAGAAACAAATGACAGTTTTGAATATATATATGAGTTGATGCATCATTTAGGCAACTATAATACATGTACACTCTCGATATCATGAGAAACAAAACAGCCCTACTGTCTGACAGTTGATTTGACACAGTAATAATACAAGTATTGTCAAACAAGGTACAGAGGCTGTCAGACAGAGAGATGCAGGGGTATTAATCAAAGTATTTTATCATTTTTTTCTGATCAACAGTGAATGTCAATAATCAATATAAAGGCATTCTATACGTGTTGTATCTATCCTAAAAAATGAACGCTTCGCATTTTTTGTTTCTTCATAAATGCGACATAATACGTTGATTGATTCAACTGTTGATCAGCTGTTTCATTTAACAAGGAAGTTTATACACACTTACACCGCGTATTTCCGCCAATTCGTTGTAAGTTAAAAGTGACAAAATCTTCTCTACAATTTCTTCTGGCAGTTGGGTCAAAAGAAGTACTTGTTTTTCGGTTGTGTCCTTTTCAGTTTCCATTTTCTTATCGTAACTTTTTCCTATAAAACAGGTGAAGGCCATATTTGGTTGCACTAATACCCGTAAATGCTGAGAAAACAAAAGATAAACCGATAAAAAAAAGAATTCTATTAATATCGATTCTATGTACATTTAAATTATTTTTTGATAAACATAGTAACATTCGTTCTTTAATATTTTTATTTCGATTCCTTTTATTGTATTTTTTTAAATTTAATTGCAGTGAACATATACCAATCGGGATCGAAGTTCCTTAAATCATTAACCATTGCGTCTTGGGAGGAAGCGCGAGTGCTCGAATCACTTCAATCAGGAAAAAATGTTGAAAATGATATTTGTTTTGTTCACTTTGCTGTTTTTCCGAATAGAATGTAAACCAATAAAAGTGACGGAAGAAAACTGGTCAGATGTTCTTGAAGGTGAATGGATGATAGAATTGTAAGTAGATAGATAGTTTACAACTTTACACGTCATCTTTGAAATATTTTTTAAGGACATCACAGAAACATAAGTGATAAAAACTGTTGTTCATCTTTTTGTTAGTTGAGTCGATTTTAAGGACAACTATTATATATACGGGGTATTAGAGTGCACTCTGGACATAGCTGCTTTGTTGTTTTGTTTACCATGTTTACCTTTTAAGTATCTGTATCTGTATCTGTACGTTGAAGTAACCTATGTAGGCTTTTATACAACGGTGAGAGAGAACGCCGGATTTTATTGGCGTTGATGTTCTTGTAGGGCGGTCTTAAATCCCTCTATTGTTTTTGCATGCACGACGGAGTTAGGCAGATGGTTCCACTGAATGCACGTGTCAACAAAGAATGAATGTTGGTACTGTAATGTTCTACTGGATGGAATTATTAATCCTTTGTTGTTATTACACACATGTTTTTGTACAATATTTGTGGTATGATGGTCCTTGTACTGTTTAGGCTTGATTTGACGTTTTTCTTTAGTATTTTTTATGAATAGATGAGGTGGTAGTGCCGGTACCAACCCCTCAACCACTTTGTACATTAGAATTAATCGCAAACTTGTTCTTCTCTCTTCTAGTGTTTCTATATCAAGGCTTTTCCTCATGGATGTTAGTGATCCTGGATTCCTACTGCTGTAGTTCTTTTTTATGAATCTTATGGCTCTATTTTGTATTCTTTCTAACTTATCGATATCCCCTTTGAGGTATGGGTTCTAGATAGTAGCTCCATATTCCATAATTGATCTAACTAGGGATATATATGCTGTTTTTCTGCATTCTTCTGGGACGTTCCGGAGATTTCGTCTTAGGAAGCCTAGGGTGTTATTTGCTTTCTTGCTGATGTTGTTTATGTGTAGACTCCATTTGAGATCATTTGATATTTCCAGTCCAAGGTAAGGGTTGTTTTGTACTTCTTGGAGTATGTGGCTGCAAAGTTGGTACAGTTTAGTTGATTTCTGGTTTATTGACATGATGTAGCACTTTTTAGCATTGAATCTCATGCCCCACTTATTTGCCCAGACCTCTAGTTGGTTAAGGTCGTTTTGTAGTATTTGATGGTCTTTGTTGCTCCTGATGGTTCTATATAGGAGGCAGTCGTCGGCAAATAAGCGCACAGACAAGTTTACAGCGTCTGGTAGATCGTTTATGTGGCATAGAAACATTATTGGGCCGAGTACTGTGCCTTGTGGGACTCCTGAGTCTACTGATGTTTCCTCAGACTCTATTCCCTCTACTATTGTTTTCATTTTCCTTGTTGTTAGAAAGTTGTTTAGCCAGGTGTGGAGTGTTCCTCGAATGCCGTATTGTTGTAATTTGTGGAGTAGTTTGTCGTGAGGTACGGTGTCAAAAGCTTTTGAAAAATCTATGATGGCTACGTCGACTTGATGTGATTTGTCGTGTTCAGTAAGGAAATCATTGAGTGTTGTTAGAAGTTGGGTCTTGCATGAGTATCCTGATCTAAAGCCGTGATTTAAGTATGTATACAAAAAATACTTTGAACAGTTTTATATTGGATTGAACTTACAGAAAGAAAAATATATCAAAATTCGGTGATAACACTGTTCATAACATTATGGTAGAGATCTATGTTTATAAACTTTAAATACATAACTTCTAACCTGCATGCCATGAATGGTTTTGCTTTGATAACACAATACCTGTATGTTAAGCAATTACACATGACCTTTAATCTATGCTCTGAATGGTTTTACCCATGTACCTTACCTGTATGCTATGAATGGTTTTACCCTGATTTCATATTACCTGTATGCTATGAATGGTTTTACCCTGATTTCATATTACCTGTATGCTATGAATGGTTTTGCCCTGATTTCATATTGCCTTTATGTCTTAAATGGTTTTGCCACCCAAAACTCATTTGTGATCAGTGGATTCACCCTAACTGGCCTAAGTGGTATTAATGTAGTGGATGGCAATAATGATTACGGATTAGACAATTGTTTTATTAGTACAGTTTTTCAATTAGTTTAACATTGATCACTTTAATTGTTTCTTATTTGATAGACTATTTATTTGAGATCATATACAATGCAATATTTTTATAAATTAAGAATAGATTTACCCAGTGAAGTGTCTTCTGGGGAAGCAGGAATTTAATGAATGATTTAAGCTGTGTAATGAAATAATTGTACAGTAAACACTAAACAGTACTGTAACAGTAAAATGCAGCTATAACAAAGTGCCAGGGACAATTTGACTTTGGTTATATAAACATAATTCATTATATACTGAAAGGAAAAAGAAACGCAGGGTAGCATAATATTCGAAAACTTTTTGACCGCATGACTGAGAATTACGAAAATTGGTCAGATGAGAAATTTAGTTACTATGCACCAAAATTAGTCTTAAGAATTACTCAACCGTAAAATGTATGACGTCACGTGGGGAAGACGCTAAAAATCCAAAAACACGTGCAATTTCATGACAACAAGTTTGTCAACAAATCTTTTGCACAAATTGATGCACCTGAGGTATACACATTGTTTTTCAATGTTTAGAGACGATATGAATTTTTTGCAATCTTGGTACAGTTTACGGAAGTTCAATAGGGTCTGATTTTCGAATTGCCTAATCAATGAAAAAGGCAACAACGGGTAACTACGCAGTTTCTTGTAAATTTTCCCCCATAAAACTTGTAACCTGTTGTCAGAGAGGGCCTGGAATGGTTTTCAATCAACCGTGATGATGACGTGAACGCGAAACAGAGTCATGTTACGAGCGGGTTATTCGTCCTGCCATCTCTTAAATTGCAATCCTACTACCACAAAAACCGCCATTTATACAGTAGACTATTGTAATCATTACATTCATGAAAAATGAAAGAAAACAATTCCGCAATTTGGTTATTTGAGCCGGACAACTTTCTGTTGTGTTCCTCTCACTGGCGCATGTGCACGTCGCATGACTAATTTTTTGGAGTGGTTACCTATGCCTAATTTAGTCTGGGTTTGAAAGATACTCACTTTGATGAATTCCATGCAAAGGAGAAATAACGCTCATGACAGATGTGCAGGAGAGACATTGCAGATAATGAGAGTTTTTAATTTTCACTTTTGGGGGGTACCGTCATATGAGCTTCAATAACTTATGATTTAGTAGACAAAATCAAATGAGATTTTGAATATATCTTTTTGAAAGATGATTTTAAAAGTTAGATAGAAATACTGAAAAAAATTGAAAGAAAAATAAATTTAATTCACCTCAAAAGTTTACCCTGTGTTTCTTTTTCCTTTCAGTATATCTGTTAGGTTCATATGATATAAAGCCAGTGAGCTTTTACTGCTCAAAACTAGAGATACTGTGAGCAATGAGCTCACTAAATGATACCCCCCGCCTCCCATAATGTCCAAGTGTAAAGAGGAATAACTCGTCCTATCAAATGTTATCCAGAAGCTTCTATATGTGACGTCATAGGTAAACATATAATGGCAATGTCCATGTTTTGCTATGGGAAACCTAAAATACGTGTCAAATAATAAAGTAAAATAGGAGGTGCACAATGGCAATATGTAATAAAGATTCTGTGAAAGTTTCATTAAATTTCACTCAGTAGTATAAGAGGAGTTGCGGATAAGAGATAAAGCGTAACAGATGGACAGACGTACAGACGGACGGACGGAAATCCCGATTACTATATACCCTCCCACTTTTCAAGCGGGGGGTATAAATATACTTCACCATTACTCTAAGTGATCAAATAAAATCACATTTAACACTGAATACAATAGTTTTAACTTGAAAACTTTCAAAATTATGTTATCATTAAAATCCATGAGTGTCAAACCTAACTGCACTAAGCAATCCACAGTACTGTAGCAGATGATAATTTTGAGAGCAGAGAAATTACCCTAGAATTTTTACTGAAGTATTTTATGATAAGTGATACCCTTGCTGTAAATATATAAATTTAAAAGTCAAACTTTATATTTCTCTTTTTATACCCCCCGCTTGAAAAGTGGGAGGGTATATAGTAATCAGTATTTCCGTCCGTCCATCTGTTACGCTTTGGGGTACCCATCTCTTATCCACCACTCCTCTCATACCACTGAAGAAAATTTAATGAAACTTTCACAGATTCTTAATTACATATTGCCATTGTGCACCTCCTATTTTACTCTTTGATCTGACATGTATTTTTGATTTTCCAGAGCAAAACATGGACACTGCCATTATATTCATATGGGAGGCGGGGGGTATCATTTAGTGAGCTCATTGCTCACAGTACCTCTAGTCTTTTTGTGTATTCTGACTTTAATATTTGAAGAATTTTGAAATTCTTTAAAAAGAAATTGAGGGATTTTTTTATTTTTCAAATGGTCATAAGTCCTTTTACCAAACTCAAATTTTCTGCTGGGTTAACAGCTCTATTGGCCTAGAGCAGCCAGCTGTATTCTTTTTATGATTTGTAGGTCATTCTATATCTTTCTTTCTTCACTTTGTAGCATGGCTCCCTGGTGCCCTGCATGTAGAGGATTTGTAGCAACATGGGACAAATTTTCTGACTGGAGCAAAGATTTGGAAATTAAAGTAGGAGTAGTTGATGTTACAGAAAATCCAGGTAGGTTTGGAAGTATTGATGTGGTCCATAGTACATGTATTATTCTATAACAAAACATTCTAGTTAATTGTGATACATCTTTTGATTTTGTAGATATTATAAATTAATTAATTATTAACTCATTTTGAAGGGAAAAAATCCTATTTCATTACCAACTGAAAGTAATTTTGATACATGTACATGTTTGTTTTTTTTAAAACTAAATTTATTAGTTATTCTAGGACTAATATTTGCTGGCTTTTGATACAACAATAACTTTTTAAAAAGCATTCATTTTAGGTTACAATTATGTTATGATTTTAAAAGGGGGGATATGAATTGCTCATGGGCTTTGTGACAAGTCTTTACTGTAAACCAGTTATTATGCGCGTCATTTTTTATTCGTGACTGACCGCTGGAGAACTAATCCACGACGATTTATTTCCGCGAACAAGTGGTAATATTTTTTTTATTTCCACAAGTATTTTATTTTTTGCATCAAAATTTCATATCCGCTCATAAACTAGGTAAAATGCTACCGTGAGTACTGCTTATGTATTATTTAAGACATTCTGTGGATTGCGTCTATTTAAAATCTTATATCCGCGCCTAAAGTAGGTAAAATGTTACCGTGAGTATACTTCTTACGCATTATTCACACCGCTCGAATGAAAATCGGTAAAAAAAAAAATCGAGGAGATTTAAGTTGGTTTAAAACTCTCAAGTGTAAAAGTACCTCGTGCTAATTGGGTAATTGATGCTTTACAAGATCTACATAGCCAAAGGGCAATTATTATAAATGGTTGGGACGGAGCAGGACTGGGCCATAATTAGTCATAATTAACTAGGCTATCCCTAACTCGTCTGTGACAATAAATGAACAATAATAACACAAGCTGAAATATTTATTATAGGATTAAACGTTCTTTTTGAAAAATTTATCGATGTGTAAACTCTTGACATTTTACTCACAAACTGAATAAAAGTGCGAAGCACTTTTATGTTAAGTTTGTGAGTAAAATGTCAAGAGTTTACACATCGATAAATTTTTCAAAAAGAACGTTTAATTCTTATAATTCCAATATCGAATTTTTAAAAATATTCAAATTATTTCTCTTTGAGGCCTCCATACAATCCGTTAGTTCTGGACGGCGTAGGAATACATTTTACCGCAAAGGAACGTAATCGAGATGAATTTCGATAGAGTTCAACTTAAATTGTCAAAACAACCGATAAATAAACTTATAAAGACTTATCGAATGTTGTTTAAGTCAACAAATATCGTAATTACGAGTTTACTTCAGAATAGTTCGTCCTTGACCATGGCCATGTTGACATAAACGACAACTCTCATAGTGAAAGTTGCAGACCGACGACGCCTTCGATTTGCACTTGTTTGTTCAAAGATTGAGGAACAATATAGAAAGTAAATATGAATTTGATGCTTATAGGGCAAGAGTTTGAGGTACGTTTCTTTTCCCTGTCTAAACGATACAAACTGAGTTGATTATCTTCGTATTATGAACGTTGAGACAGCGATTTTTAAAATTCACACTCGTGATCGAACAGTGACATTAACATTTTCATGGCTTCCATCAGCTGGGCAGCCTAGCATGTCGCCAGTTTTGTTTTAATTAATTAAATTTGAAGTTTCTTGTATTTATAATTTATCCAAAACAGACAATAAATAACTGCTTTCGTTGTTTATACGATAAACTACATGTAGAAGCTTAGTCAAAAAAGTAGTTCTGATTGAAAAAAAAATTTATCGATGTGTAAAAATTTTCTTAAACGTGTTCTCGTCCAATCAAAACACAGGTATTCAATAGATACAATGAAGATTGGAATTATTGACATTTTAATCGTTTTAGACAAATATTTTTAGATTTTCCATTTGTTTATATATTTTTTCTGAATGTTTGTAATGAAACTTCAACTGCTTCTAGAACACTAAAATTCTTCCGTGATTACTTATTAAACCGTCGTGATCGGTACTCAAAAAAGGGCAAATAACTCTAATCATAACATGGGAAAATGAACAACTGGTTCGCGACGATAAATATCCGCGAGCAGAGGTTACTCGCGGAACTCGCGGATATTTATCACACACGTATAATACTTGGTTTACAGTATTTTATGAGCCTCTTAGACTCTGTGGTGTGTGGATACTGATCCATGTATCATAACATGTATTTGTATTCAAAGTCCAGGGATGAAATTATAATAGATGTATTGTTCAACCAGGAACCCCTTATCATTAGATTATTTTTAGTTTGTAGCATTAAAATACTTGTAAGATCTACAAAATTTATCTGTGGAAATTATATTTTCAATAGAGGAAAAATAACAATCATTTTAATACAGGTTTAATTGGAAGATTTTTGACAGCTGCTTTGCCTTCAATTTATCAGTAAGTCTGGGTAACACTTGCAGTAGATCTACTTATATTAATTTATATCTTTCATTTCACCGCTTTTATTAACTTGGCATGTTTATTAATGGAAAAGTTGGTTATTAGAGAGATGGAAATAGCAGATTTATAGCAAATGTTTTAGATGTTATTAGCTAAACACTCTTTACATAGCACACTGATCTTTTGATAAACATGTCAGTAAAGCATTTTTCAACACTTTTAAGTAAAAGCCTTTTTCAACACAAACTAATTGTAGGAAGGGCTGAATTTGTCTTTTTAAAGTACAATGAATCAATCGAATATGATTGGAATATTAAAAGTATTAAATGAAAGTCAATGTAGTACAAATAAGACTGTGTTTAGAAAGGCTTTCATCTTAGCAGTTTACTATATTCACACTTTGACCTTTGCCCTCTATATTTTAGGTCTCAGTGGGAGATTCCTGATCTCTGCCCTTCCATCTTTATATCAGTAAGTGTCAGTATTATTATATGAAAAACTGAGATTTGTGATCTCTTCCCTTCCATCTCTATATCAGTAAGTGTCAGTATTATTATATGAAAAACTGAGATTTGTGATCTCTTTCCTTCCATCTCTATATCAGTAAGTGTCAGTTTACGGTAATTATATTCAGAAATACTGAGATTCATTATCTCTGCCCTTCCATCTTTATATCAGTAAGTGTCAGTATTATTATATTCAGAAATACTGAGATTTGTGATCTCTGCTCTTCCATCTTTATATCAGTAATTGTCAGTATATATTCAGAAATACTGCAGGGCTCGACATTAACGCTTGTCCGCTTGTCCGGTACCAATGAACAAAAATTTCGGACAAGTGAATATTGCTGGGTACTTGTCCGATTGGACAAGTGATTTTTCTATGTAAAGAAGTCTTCAAATAATAATAATCATAGAAAACAACTATTGTAAAGTTTATCGAATAAAAACGGAAGCAGTACATAAACCTGAATTTTGATCCAGATATCAATCACTATGTACTAAAATCACACTTGATCGGGATCGATGTTCACTAATTGCAGCCATACTATTGTATGGCGTGGATCTTACGACGTTTGTGAGTTTAGAATATATTTGATTGATATTACAGATTCACTTTTGAACATTTATGCTGTTGTCAGGACAGGAAGTCTAGATAAAATTTTGTTTATATGTGTTTGTCTTATTTATCAATAACAACACTTATAAATCAAGCACATTTAATTTTTTAATTGTTTTCAAGTTGACATAACAAGACATTCATTGAAAAATTTTCGGACAAGTGAAGTTGAAGTTCGGACAAGTAAATATCTTGGTCACTAGTAGGAAAAAAAGTCAATGTCGAGCCCTGTACTGAGATTCTTGATCTCTTCCCTTCCATCTTTATATTTGATCTCTGCCATACTTGTATCAGTGTCAATAAATAGAGATAATACTTAGGATTTTCCTAATCTCTGTCCTTCTTATATCAACAATTAAGTGTCAATAGTACATAAAGAAATATTGTATGAACATACATGTACTTAGGTATTGAGATTACAAGTTTACTGCCAGTTGATTTTTCTCTCAATTCTAATTATCTGACCATATCATGGCATTTTATGTAAAGGTAAATAAACTCATCTTTATGAAAAAAAATATATATTTCTGCTAAATCTTCACTCCTGTAAAATGTGAAAAACCCTAGCATACAAAAATGAGGGCAAAGGTCAATTTTTATAATTGCGCTCCACAAATTTCTTGTTACTGGTGTTTCTAGAGTGTGTTTGTAACTTGTCTTAGGGAAAAAAGGTCAGTGGATTATGAATAACTGGCAGCTGATTCAGATATAAATTATTTACTACATTAATATGATTACTTCTTACACCTGTCAATGTTTGCTGTGTTGGTAATCATGTTTCAAAAGAAAATTATTTATTAATGATATCCATTACTCATTACAGTAAGACTAGAAGTCAGAAAAAAAATGCACCCTCAGCAAAAAATGTTTATTGTTTATTTGAAATTTTAAGTTATTTAATAAAAATACATCTGTAATATAAATACATGTGTCTAAAATTCAGTGATAAAAGAATCTTGAAAATTTTTTGTCTTTGTTAGAAAAAGTAATTTTTTTATGTAAAAATAACTTGCCGGGTACATGTATCACAACCCCAGCTTTGCTTGTTTTAGCATTAAGAATGGAGAGTTTCGTCAGTACAAAGGAGGAAGGAAGGAGGCTGAACTGATCAGCTTTGTAGACGACCAGAAATGGAAGGAACTGGACCCTATTCCCTGGTATTTCTCTCCAGCCTCAATCCAGTAAGAACAATGTCTGATAACCTTTATAATTTCTAAATAAAATAACATATTTAGTTTTTCTTCTTTTTTTTTTTGGATTAAATTAAAAGTTAGGATGTTTTTATAATTTATATAATACTCTTAAAGAGAGGAAAAGTTGAGAAAAGATGATACAATTTATTATCTGCAAAAATAATAAATATAGCCCTCTCCGATCTTTTTAATCTGATGCCCCCCCCCCCCAAAAAAAAAATGGGGAGGGCTACATTATTGCAGCTAACAATTCATCGTCAAAAATTAAATCTTAAATGAACAATGTATATTTTTTTCAAAATAAATAATTATATATTTATACTGTATGGTGCTGTTATGGATTTTATTGTACCTTTCTTACTTTCAGAATGGCAGGACTGGCACAGTTCTTTAAAGCTGCTATGGCAGTCAGGGTAAAAATCCATTAAAATTACTCACAATTTGCCAAAGTAATGCACTGTACACTTAAAGACCCAATTTTTTTACCGTATGGTTACCTGAAGAGGGGGAGTGGTCTAAGTAACAGTGGTGTTATTTACCTGGAGACCCCCAATACCCAAGATGTCAAAAATCTATATACACGTAGCATTACACAGGAAGTCTGTGTCTGGTGATCAGGGTCAACATTCTGTGTTTCCTGTCTAAATTTGAGTGAAACTACTTGAAATAATTGAAATATTTCAGCATAAAATTTATTTATAAAATACTTTTAGCGATATCTGATGAAGAAAAAAATTATAAAGAAATGTTTTTATATTTAAAAAAAAAAAAGACAAATTAAAGAAAAGAACACAGATTAAAACTACAAAGTAAACATATCTTTTTTTAATTAAACGTGTGAAAATATAAAAAATTAAAAAGAAAATAATAAAATATTCCATTCATACGTACATGTAGGCCTATCCGTCGTGTGAACATGTACAATGTACCGTACCGCGAATATTGCCCAGTACGTTCTGATCGACAATAGTGTCGAAAATATTCACCATTTCCGGGTGTTCGTGAGTTTCATTTTTTTTTTTTTGTTTGCAAGATTTCTTTTACACTTTTAAGAATTGATCTTCGGCTGTATATATTCACTTTTTAGTTTCGAATATAGGGTATTGACAGATGTTAGGAAATTCGAACTAAAAGTTACAATATTGAAACTCCTAGCTATATTTCTGACATTTCAGAACTTTACAACAGAACATGGTATAGATTGTATTCATATATACGTAGATAAAACATAGGATAAGTGAATTTTTTATCCGTGCCGTTTGTGCTGAATATCTTTTCTTATTTATCATATTCCAATTTTAATCGGCAAATAGCGTTTCTGCGCACGGACTGGTCTAAATTCTACAGCAGATATCTTGGACGACATATCGCCTAAAATACAATAAAGCCGTTGAGATTAAAAGCAAATATTTTATATATGAAGTCATGTTTTAATTATCTACTCTCAATTGTTTTTAAAATAAAATTTTACCAAGATTCATTTTTAACCCCCGTGTATACAAGGCGGCTACATGAAAGTGTTTGACGCGTGACCAGGCGATCGTTTTCAAAGGACACAAACTCAGACTATCAGGTAGCACGGTCAGCTGGCCTGTCAATCAAATCAGAAGCTATTGTTTTTTTAATGATTGACAGGCGGTAAATTATTGATCTTGAATCAGGTAGATTTTGGGGGCGTTAACATAAAATTGGGTGTTTAAGTTGAATGCAAGAATGAAGTGTAATCTAAGACTATATAATATGTATATAGTCAAAATACGTATTTCATATCCATACATGCTTATATTATCGCACATACAAAATGTTCTGACAGCTATGGCTGAGATGTATATGATTGTTAATTCTTAATTGATATAAATCTACCATCTTTTGACAGGATCTTTACAATTCTATGACAAAGGATTATGGGATACCAGAGTGGGCCTGTTATGTCATCTTTGCCATTGCAACCATCCTTGCAGGGTTGATTCTTGGATTGGTCAGTATTATCATTTTTCAAAAAAAAAATTCTAACACAAACAGAAAATTGGATGGCCATTTTTCCCTTCTCTCTATGGTTAACTCACCTGAGCTGAAAGACCCCCCCCTTCCATGTAAATTATTTCAATGTTTAACTGATTTGTGCTTTTTTCCTAGCCAGTGTGCTTTGGTGAGCTATGTGGCCCATGGGCCACTTTTTTTTTCATCCAATCTATGTGACAAATCTTTTCTAACTTCATTGGATAAAAACTACCAGTATCAACAAATGAAAAGCTTGCAAATATTTCATGGATTTATCTCATCATTTATATAATTTCCTGCTGAAAAGATTGATTGTTTTTGACTTTCAGGTGATTGTAGTGTGTTGTGATATGATGCTGCCATCCAGATATGTCCCTTCATCAGCAGAAGAACCTGAACCTAGTTCACAGGGGGTGGCCTTACAAAAGGTACTGCTTCTAAAAACAAGTTATATCTATAATCTAATCTGAAAGACTGAGAATGAGTTTATACTCATACCATTGATACAGCATATGTGCTAGGAATGCTTTTTCCTACAAAACAGATTTTAAATATTAAGGCATCTTTTTCAATTTTCTCTAATTACTAATGTAATGTTAACTTATTATGCCAATTCCTTGAGGATGGTACACTTTATTTTTCTACCTGTGGTTGTCAGAAATTATGCTTGTTTGTAACAAGAATTATTTCTATGCAACAGAACTATAAATTAGAGTTTGGACTCGAACCTAGAATTTCTCTCTTTGAGGGAAAAAAAAATTTACCTTAAAATGCCTTTATGCCTTTTTTGTGCTTTCAACTTTCAAGAATAGGAATACTTATTGGAAAGTTGCAAGATGATAAAAGACTTCAAATCTATCATTGCAAGGGTAAACAAATTGACTTCTCAATAGCATATCAGTCTATGGTTTATATGGATATAGTCTATATAAAAAATCACATGTATTTTGTTTGGTTTGTGATATACTTGTACAATGCTTGTACAATGTACCTGGCCCTACCATTCTGATTAAATCTGTGCATTAAACACTCTGTGTACTAGTATATGGCACAGATATAAGTAATTTTGATTTTATTTAGATTGATTGACAAACTTGGTGTAAAAGCATTACATGTATATACCCATTAGAACAGTTTAAATTCAGATGCTGAACTTTCAACTAGTGTTAAGTACAAATCATCAGTGATAAACTCTGACAGAGGATCCTTCAATTCATACAAATTTTGGAAATTTCCAGAAATAAAACATTTGATTTGGACAATGTTACTTTCATTTTTGTTTAGTATTGTTTGGATGAAATGTCTCCAATATTTAAGTGTTTTAAACATAATTTCTGATCTGATCACTTTTTTGTTCTGATTTCAGGAGGATGAAGATGCCGATGGTGAGGAATCAGAAACGGACATTGTTGACGTCACTAAAACGGCGGAAAAAGACACTGATACCAAACCAAGGAAAAGGAGGGTGAAAAAAGCAGACTGATTTCATAGACATCATATGTGAAAGTCCCCTGAGGGGTAAAATGTTTTCAAAATGGAGTAAATGCAAATTAATGAGAGTGTTTGATTTCCCAAAGACATTCATCCCAATGAAGAATGTGTGGCTTAATTTTATGAATTTTCTTTTTGTTGGTTTGTGAGTGTATTTAAGTTTTAATCAGAGGGGTGATTTTAATGCTTGTTCCTAACATTTTGTTTGTTTTATATATGTTCAGTGAATATGAAGTATTCTTATGTTGAATGTAGAAAATGATTCAAGTCAGAGCGTGCCAATACTTAACCTAAAATTTTACTGTTGTAACTTGTTTAAGTAAGAATTTATTTTAAGGGTGAAAAGTTGCAATGTAAACAGAAACATCTTATTATTCTTAGTTGTTTAGTTTAACAAAAACCTGCCTTTTTCTGATCTGAACATGAAATGTGTTGATTTTAAAATTTTATTAGGTCACCTGAGTAACTCAGGTGACCTATTGCTATCCGTTTTCGTCCGTCGTCGTGCGTCGTGTGTCGTGTGTCGTGTGTTAAAATTTGAACATTTTCAGCTTCTTCTCTGAAACCACGGAACCAATTTCAACCAAATTTGGTATACAGCATCTATGCGTGGAGGGGAACAAAAATTGTGAATTTCATGGTCCCCGCCCCCCTGGGGCCTGAGGGGTGGGGCCAAAACCACTAAAATTAATGAAACTTTTAAAAATCTTCTTCTTTACTCCTGGACATCAAGCAGGCAAACTATTGGCATGAATGTAATGAGCATTGAGTCCTCTACCAAAATTGTGAAATTCATGGTCCCAGGGTCAGGGGTTCTAGTGCTAGGGTGGGGCTCTATAGATTATATAGTGAAAATGCCTTATTTCTTTGAAAATCTTCTTCTCTGCTCCTGGGTATTAAATACACAAACTAAGCACATAGTTATGATGAGCAAGAGTGCTTCTTCCAGATTTGTGAATTTCATGGTCCCAGGGCCAGGGGTTCTGGTGGTAGGGCGGGGCTCTATAGATAATATGGTGAAAATGCATTATTTCTTTGAAAATCTTCTTCTCTGCTCCTGGGTATTAAATAAACAAATTAAGCACATAGTTATGATGAGCAAGAGTGCTTCTTCCAGATTTGTGAATTTTATGGCCCCAGGGTCAGGGGTTCTGGTGTTAGGGCAGGGCTCTATAGATTATATAGTGAAAATGCATTATTTCTTTGAAAATCTTCTTCTCTGCTCCTGGGTATTAAATACACTAAATAAGCACATAATTATGATGAGCAAGAGTGCCTCTTCCAAAATTGTGAATTTTATGGCCCCAGGGTCAGGGGTTCTGGTGTTAGAGCGGGGCTCTATAGATTATATAGTGAAAATGCATTATTTCTGTGATGAACATCTTCTCTGCTCCTGGGTATTAGATAAACTAACTAAGCACATAGTTAAGATGAGCAAGAGTGCCTCTTCCAAAATTGTGAATTTTATGGCCCCAGGGTCAGGGGTTCTGGTGTTAGGGTGGGGCTCCATAGATAATACAGTGAAAATGCATTATTTCTTTGAAAATATTCTTCTCTGCTCCTGGGTATTAAATACACTAAATAAGCACATAGTTATGATGAGCAAGAGTGCCTCTTCCAAAATTGTGAATTTTATGGCCCCAGGGTCAGGGGTTCTGGTGTTAGGGTGGGGCTCTATAGATTATATAGTGAAAATGCATTATTTTTTGAAAATCTTCTTCTCTGCTCCTGGGTATTAGATTAACTAACTAAGCACATAGTTATGATGAGCAAGAGTGCCTCTTCCAAAATTTTGAATTTTATGGCCCCAGGGTCAGGGGTTCTGGTGTTAAGTCGGGTCTCTATTGATTATATAGTAAAAATACATTTATTCTTTGTAAATATTTTTCTTTGCCTCTGGGTTTAAAGCCAATGATCCAAGTATATATATATTTATGATGAAGAAAGGTGCATGTAGCAAAGTGGTTTTTAATGCCCCCAGGGTCAAAGGGGGGGGGGGGGGGTGGTTACATAGCCTGAAAATAAATTAATGCTTTGAAATCTGCTGTTTGGTATTAATCAACCATTTTATGATAAAATTTGCAAAAGTTTGAAATATATGGCCTGGGTCAGTGGTTCCTTTGGGGTGAGGTGCACAACTGGTTATAAAGTGGAAGTGCCTTTTCTCTTTGTTACTCTGATCTATCTCTGGGTCAAAGGGGGGGGGGGGGTACATAGCCTGAAAATAAATTAATGCTTTGAAATCTGCTGTTTGGTATTAATCAACCATTTTATGATAAAATTTGCAAAAGTTTGAAATATGTGGCTCCAGGGTCAGTGGTTCCTTTGGGGTGAGGTGCACAACTGGTTATAAAGTGGAAGTGCATTTTCTCTTTGTTACTCTGATCTATCTCTGGGTATTAAGTAAATAGAGTAAGCATTCTAAGTTAATAATTATGATAAGCAATGGTGCCTCTTTCAAAATTGTAAATTGTGAATTTCATGGCCACCGGTTTAAACACGAACCAAATTTAATTGTTTGAAAGTTGTTACACAATACTCAGGTGACCTATAAGGCCCGTGGGCCTCTTGTTTTATAAGTATGTAGTACATGTAGTAACTAAGTAAGTGATTTCTTCTATACATTTATATTCATCAGATTAATTATTCTTGTACTCATAGAAGTGACTGAAAAAAATTTAAGTTTTATAATGTTGCAGTCATTACCATTGAGTAGTAATACATGTATGTATGGGAGTTTTTTTGTATGAATACTAAATGAATATGACTGTGATTTTGGTACTGGTATAAATGTTGTACTTTGATACACTTATGTAATTTTTTAACCCACCAGTCTATTCTTTATGCATATATATATTTTTATTTTCATTTATAAAAGAAAAAAAAATTGGCAAACAGACTTTGTAGCCATTAAGATATTCATTGAGCTAGATTCATTAGTTATCGTAATTTTATTTTTGCTTAATTCTGACCCCTGGATCAGGAAACTTTATAAACTAAAACTAATTTTAATAAGTAAACATGGACAATTGGTATAAACTGTCGTGCAGATACCTTGCCCAAATCCTTTCATGATCCTGAGACCAGGTTTTTCTAACTTTGGAATGTTTTAGCAGTTCTCTTAAAATTTTAAGCCTTATAAATCCTGTTTTAAGACCAAGTTATATTTTTACCTTACCTTCCTTTATTTGTGAAAAGTAGAGAACCACATATAGATTACAAAGCATGCAAAAACATGCTTTTTGTTCTACCACTACACACTGGAAGTAAACTTTTTTTTCATTTGTACATGGGGTATTGAGAGAACACATACCCATCTGATTTGCTTTTATTGTGTTCTATGCAAGTGTTAATAAAAGAAATTGTACAATTACATGATTTTTTTTTTCTTTAAGATCAGACGACACATTCCTCAAAAATATATAATTTTTTCTAAGAATTTGTCATTAAAGTATAGGTACTTAACGAAGTTTCCTTACAAAAAATTAGGGTACCTTACCAGGCATTTGGACAAGATACAACAGGACCATACTTCATATAACCCATATGGGTAATCTTCTTAATAGCCTATATCACAGTTTTTTGGTGTACTTATATTTGAAAACATTTTTAAAACAATGTAGAAATCAGAAGAGAATGACAAATATGAATATTTTTAAATAATATCAAGAGATACATAACAATATATTTGAGGAACGTGTCGTCTGACCTTAAGAACCCTCTATACACTGACGAAAAATGTTTTTTGGACTTTGAGAAAATTGTATAGTGTAAAGGAGGCTATTTTGAAATAAACTAATCCATTTCTAATATAGGGAGCGTGCCTTCTTTATCCAGGAAAAATCTTTGAAGACAGTGAAGTAATGACAAAGAAAAATTGCTTTCGATTATTCAAATGGAGAAAATACATGCAAATAAAGTTTTCAATTACTCTATCTTGGTCTAACATATGTTTAGAATACATGGATTTATTTAAAATTTTGTCATACAGTGCAAATTACAATTTATTCTTTTTTATGTCAAAGTGGGTCAGTCTAACTACACACAAGTACCCTGAAATTAGGGTGCAGTGTAGAGAGGGTCCTTAATTGAAATACAGTTGTTTGAGCAGTTCTGAATCTGGAACAGATTCAGCAGTCCGCTATGTTTAGGCATTATTTCAGAATCTAAGTTGTTTGTCAAAGTAACTCAATGACTTGTGGGATTAAATATTTTTTCATAAAAGTTAGGAAAACTGTTGTGTCAGAAATATAAAAGTAATGAATTTGAACAGTCTTTTATTGTTATGACTTGAGATAAAAACGAGATTGATATTAATCATTTTCTTTGGTATGCTTAGGTTATTTACCTGAAGACCTAAAATTATCTGATAGACTCTTAATAAATATTTTAATGTTTCCTGACTTTTGTCTTACCAATTTATGACAAGAAGCAAAGCAATATGTTAAAGACCTATGATACAACAAATGAAAATAAATTCTTCTCCCCATGTTTCATGGTTAGACACAGAAACCAATGTTATTAAAAATGTTTTATTTAATTTTAAACTTACATTGTTTAGAGATAAATTTATTTCTAGTCTAATGAAATAATTTGTGAAGGTATGCTTTATCAAAATTATGATGTCACTAAATGAATCAAGATGACAGGAGTAATCAGGTCTACAGCATACCAGGTCATTAGCATTTTCTGTCTGGACCTACCATTTTCGGTTCTAGTATTAGTTTCCATGCACAACTTCCGTAACCAGACGATACTTTCATTTTCAATCTGCAAACAATACAAAATTGAGAAATAGGTAATGTTTGTGAATAAGCTAGAGAAAAGAGGAATGCTTTTCCTTGTATTTGTTTAATTTTTGTTTCATGTATCATTGTCAGTATGTGACACACCTGCGAAGTGACGAGGAAATGCGGACGTTATTTGCGTTTTAGCAGACACGCACAGCTTGGCATTTTAAAGCCATAGGTTGATAGAACGAAAAACTATATACCCTATTTAAAGGGTTAAAGTTTTTGTTTTAGGGTTACTCACAGATAAAAATCTGTTTGTCCGTTTTCATTTTAATTTAAAACCAGTGACTTTTAATAGTCCTAAGGCCAGGTAAAATTAATCTTTAGATTCTCATCCTAATTTGCAAAAAAATTGGGGCTGGTGGGCGGATTTTATTTTTTATAATTGTTAATTTATATATAGGCCTAAGTATCAACAAAACAATGGACGCCCCGTACACATTTTTTTCATTACCTTAATGCAAATATGAATAGATTTAATTCTTGTCATATTCTTTTAAATATTTAAAGAAATTTTTTCTTTAAAAGTTAAACATTTATTGTTAATTAACAAATTATCAAGTACACATTATACGGCACACCCTGAACAAAATAGGTGGGGATACCAATAAATTGTGTATGCGTGACTTCTTATTTTGCAAAATCTATATAAATGTTCTAATAATTATTCTACTGAAAAATCTAGGCCTTCTCTTAAGTCTGTCTACGATGTTGTAGATTTTTTTTTATTTCAAAGCTAAGTCACACAGCTGGAGATCGTTATATATAACTTGACTTTCCTCGTCTATTTTTACTTAGTTACAATCTCTCTACATATTTGCTCCTGCCAGTGATGGTATCTATATGTGTTTATGCTATTTTTTCTTCTCTGCCTTCTCTATACTGACAAATTATCTTTTCCTTACACATTTAAACTGCTTTTATTGCCGATTTTTCTCCATTCTTCACATGGTGTTTTTGCTATAAATAGCGACACGCGACTTTTAATACAGACGGGAGATAACTCTTAAACTTTGACCCAAATTCTTACTGAATAAAAATACATGAAAATACCCAAAAATCAAAATAAAAAACATCGGGGCGGGACATTTTGAGAGGGGCGGGCGGGGATGAGAATCTAAAGATTAATTTTATATGGCCTAACTTGTTTCGGTAATAAATTTTTAACTCACAGCTCACAACTCACAGGTACCTATTATGCTAAGTATATAAGTATATAGGTGCCTGCTCATAGTATAAAAATAACACAATTGTTTTATTATCATACGAACGTTAAAGCTTTAAATTTATAACTGAAACAAGTGTCTGCGACGAAAATGATATAAATTTCACTATTTCAGCCCAAATTTGATCAAACATAATTTTTTTAATCAAAGGGGAGCAATACGTGATATCGCGAGTACCAATAAGTACCTCACAGTTATCTAACTTACTACCGCTCTTTAGCGGGGGAGTCGAGAAAGGTCTAAATTTCTGGGGCACATGGCATTGTTTACAGTAGTGACAATCGAATGATTCTAACAATTTAAGGTCGAAAGCACAATGTTTTGCCAGATATTGAACGCCAAATAGTAGATTGTCAAATAAGGCAAGTTTAGAATATTTTATCTTCTTAAAAATATGACAAATTTCAATGAAAATTTAACGAGAAGAATCCGCTTAGTTAAAAATATCGTTAAAAAATGTAACAAATAAGGATTGGGTCCTCTCAAAAATTTATTAGGCTGGTTCAGCGATTGTTTAGCAAGGCATTTCACCAGGATTTTTTACTTATTTGTCCTTATAAATTCTGCATTGATCGTTCTTGCATTGTATTGAATAGCACATTTGCCCCCAGCCAACAACGTTTCCTACCTCCATCGCAATCAGATTTTTTTAAGTAATCGCGATATCAAGTATTGCCTACAGACTGGGTTATTTATTGTGAGAAAAATCCAGAAAGCTTTGAATTTTTCCAGGCTTAATTTTCATGATTTTATATTTTTTGTGCTAGGAAAGTTTCAGAACGGGAGCCATACAAAGAATGGAAATTTCGCTGTCTCCAACAATGAAGCTGCAGAGTTGATTTTCAATACTCGTGCAGTTATGCAAACTGAATTAAATGCTGAACTCGATTTATTATTAGCTTCAGATTTGTTTTCATTTCATGTAAATATGGACAATAAACCTAAGAATGCCGCCTCCAGTTAGAGGCATCAAATTTTCAGTTTTCTTGATGGCACCAGTTCTGATGTTTTTCTTGCAAGTATAATATCATTGGCAAGTGAAAAAGCCTGGAAAACGTAAAATACTTTGGACTAAAGGAAAACATTTTTATCTGGTAATTAAACAAAATTTCGAACTGCATTGAACAACATGTACTTTAACTTAATTACCCTAATATTGATGTAAACATGGGTGTTGTTTTAGCTCGCCTGAGGCGAAGCCCTTAGTTAGCTTTTCTGATTAAATCACAGAGCTGGAAAAGAAGAAACTTATGTGCAAATAGCCTGAACATAACATAGATTCATTTTTCTTTTAAATCATGACTGTAGGGGGTGGGGCAACTGTGGGTGATTAAAGTTTCACATGGGAATATATAGTATACATGTATACAAATAATTTTTTTAATATCTTTAAAAAAAGAGCAAAGGTATGATCAGTCATACTTATTGGTATTATATGTTGAAGTTTCATAATATAATAACCCCTGGAGGAAGAGTAAGGCCAAAGTAAAGTTTTACAATATAAAGAATTTATAAGATAATCTTTAAAAAAAAAACTTTTTCCCAGGAACAGCAATGTCATTATTACCATATTCATATATAAATGGAAGCATCTTCACATACTGTATATTCAAGTGTGTTCAAATCATGATCCCCTGTGCTAGGATGGTTTTTACCAAAGAAAATCTGCGGACATGAAGGTCCATAGTTATTCAGGTGAGCATTGTAACTCATGGGCCTCTTGTTTTGTTTTACAGTTGCTGCTATTAGATAAATATGGAAGAATTCAGTAAGGATGGCCCCTCAGCAGCCAAAAAGGCAAAAGCAACTACAGAGTATAGTGAAGTCAACAATGAAAATAGCCGCGGAAGTGGGGGGTTTGCTCCAAGTGGTGAAGAAGAGACAAACAGTGAGGTATTCGACCAAGACACTGAACCTTATGACATAGGGAGCTGTGAGTCTAATGAGAATTTGTTTGGAGGGGGAGCATTGAGTTCAACTGTCAAGGACTCTGACAGTCCACTTAGAGAGGAAGCAGGGATGCCTGTGGTGGAGATAGAAGAGGAAAAACAAAAGAATTTTCCCTCAAAGATGAAGGCCATTGAGTCAGTCATGCAGGATGCCAAGTTAATAACAAATATCGTGGATGGTATTGATATTGATGGTGTGTATGAAAAACTCAAAGCCAAACGAGGAAAACCAAACAGAGTGGACTTGGTAATTAATGAAGTTCTGGAAAGCATTGAAAAGTTTAAGAAGGAGAGCTGTAAAGACAATTCAAAGGAGAACACAGTCATTGTGGAGGATCTGGTGAAAGTGATTGACAAAGCCACAGCCAATATTTCAAGACTGCCCTTCACTGCAGGGGAAATCCAGCAACTTTTGACTC